TGAAATTCAACACACTTATATAGATATCGAGAGATGTTCTCTAATTTGTACTCGTTTTGTGCAAAAATACAGTGTGTGTGGCACAAAAATATGATATATATATATATATATATATATATATATATATATATATATATATATATATATATATATATATACATATATACAAGCCAAAAAACACATCTTATGATCATCTAGCTTCAAAATGTGGAGCTCGAATGAGATAAAACTGGTCCAAAATTGAGAATATTCCTTATAATTTAGAAGATTCCACTAAATTTGAAACCGCAAGTGTGGACGTGTAAGAAGATTTATAGTTGAAGGGTGGTTGTAATTACCCAAATAGGAGGGAGACTTTTGTAATTTGACCACAGCTCATGGGTGGTTGTAATTTACCATTTTTTATTATTTATTTATCCTTATTTTTTATTTAAAATGCAAATCGTATTACAAATTGAGAAAGGATGGAAAGAAAGGATATAAGCCCTATACAATTATTTGTAAATGATATTTTTAATATGAGAAAAAGAACAGTAAAAAATGCTAATTAAACATTATTTGAAGGATGTTTTTGCAATTTAGGAACTTTTATCTTATAACCTCAAACACCGCCTTCGGCACTAGGTATATATATACGTATATACTCTTCTCCTTCAAACGTATAAAATACCAAGTTCAGTGAAAAAAAGGAAATCAAATCAAATCCATGGAAGACAGTTTCAGGGTGCGCGTGGATAAGACGTTCGGGACTTTGGGCGGAACTACGGCGTCGTCCGCCGGCGTAAGCCCTTCCCTGTGGTCCCTCACCGACGAAGAAATCGAAAGGCGGGAGTGGATTCTCAACAACAAGGAAGATGCTGAGGGCGGCGAATCTGGGCCGTCCGATCGGCTAATTCAGCTGGATTCGGATCTCATCAACGATTTGAGCGACTGCGAAGAAGACGAGCAGGAGGAGGCGGCGGAGGAAGAAGAAGAGGAGGACGATGCAATTGCTCCGAACAGTGTTGCTAGTGCTGAAACTGCTGTTGATGAATATCTGGATGTGAGATCCAATATCGGCCGCGACTGCACCCTTGACTATGAAGTATGTAATTCCTTAACTGCCACTGATATTTTTTTTGCTTCAGATTATATAAACCCTAAGAATATAAGGGGATGAACTTATGATATAATGTTGTTATAATGATTTTAATTATTTAGCTTGTCTGAATCATTGTTGGTTTGCTAGTGAATTAAGAGTTTTATGCTGTTCTAGTAGGAGAAAAATCAATCCGCAATTAAAAATTTGAAAATCGAGCAGTGATTGAAGCGTAGCAAATCTAGAATTGGTACCGAGTGAAAGTTTCTGGATTGCGTACTTATATGTTCTCGATTACCAGTTGTCTATGGTGCTATCTTCACATTCTTATAGTGCAGCGGGATACAGTGAGGGATCACGACTAATATATAATTTGATTTTACCGTTCCCGTTAGATAATTTGGTTTTACAAAATCATACAATTTAGGGAACTTGTATCGGCATTTGGGCACATTTCACATATTTTGACATCCACTGCAATGCATTTGAAGAAGAGAGAAGACGAGCCGAGCCGACACTTGCATGATGTGCATAACCTATGTTGATGTATTATATATATAGCTAAACCATTGGCTCTTGTTGTTCAATGCTGTATCATCGTCTTACACAAATGCTGAATTTCTTTTGCTGGTTTTTTTTTTCGTTACGAGTACAAATTTGTGGTAGTTTCTATAACGCTATCTATCTCTCTCTCTGGTTTATGCAGGAAGAGGAAGATCAATATGACAAAGTGGCGGTTGGCAAAGAACAAGCAGGTGACCGCCTATATATGAGAGACGTGAAATCCGCTGATTATGGAATTTACGAAAATGACTACGAGGAGCTTCCCAACACATTACAGACTGTTTTCAAAGACCCTCGTGCGAATCACTCCGCAGCTAAAATCAGGCTGAAAGAAGATGCAGAGACTGCTGGCAATTTCGATACTCTACAACTCACCGATAATTCAGAAGCCATGAATGTTGTAAAGCCCGAAGAAGATATCAAAAGGGGAGAAACAACAGATGGCGGTGATAATCCTAAGCCGATTCTGAAAAAGAGAGAGAATCTGATAGACTCCAAGTCACAGAAACGTGTCAGATTTATCGTGGACCCCACAAACAGTGTTGAGGCTGGAGGTAGTAATTTGGAAGTTCCAAAACAGGCACCTGATCTTTCGTCACTACCTAGTGCTCCGAAGTATCTTCCTAGTGTTCCCGATTATCTTTTGAACCCTTCGAAATACACGCGCTATACATTCGATCCATCGGACGATATGGATGACCGGTCGAATCAAACAGCATTCATGGAGTTGTTCTTCAATCGCTCGAGTAAAGCCGCAGACACTGGTCCATCAATGGATGAAACCTCTGTTGAGATTCCGAAATCGATAGTGTTCACACCGAGAAGGAAACAAAGAGACGATTCGATGGAGCATGACTTAGGAGAAGGAGACAATACTAATCTTAAAAGGAACAAGGGCTTATCTGTTGTGATAGCAGCTGCAGAGGACATTGGAGAGAGTGAAGTGTCTGCTATGGAAGAAGACGAGAGATGTGAAGGAAGCAGTGGCTCTCAGAAGGCGGGTCGTAAATATCGGGCGAGGACCACCATTGTTGATGCTGAAGACACCTTGAATTGATTTTTATAGTTTTTTTCAGGTATGTGTTAGCAGTTAGTACCGTCTCTCTCCTTTCGTGGATGTAGTAATTGTGGGTGATTGTCAACTTCAGTTATTGATGTTTAAGTTGATTTGCTTAGAGGACTGTCTTTAAGTTAACTAACTCTACATGCAATGAGATATTACGACGATATGTTGAGATGACCGATGCTACTGCTGCTATTTCACCCCTCTCTTTTTTTTTGGTGAATTTGTGTTTCTTTAAGAATAGGAGGGTGTAGGATGTTCATCGAGAGAATTGAATAAGAGAGAAAAAAAAAAAAAAAGCGGAACTCGATTGCTTGTGCAGATACAGTACCAAAAACTGCTTCTTTAAACCATGAGAAATACGATCCGTTGATACATACTTCCGGCGTAGTGTGTGTACATTATAATTTATTTAACTTCACAAAAAGCTAAAATAAGATATCTACTCTCTCTTTCACCTATTATAAATTGTAGCGGTACCTCTTGTTGAATGTATGTCGACAAGCAAAATTCTGGAAACCTCTTCTTCAAGCCAACAAAACCCAAATTTAACTTTCATAAATCATTTGCCTCGTACATAGCTTTTAAAACTCAAGCCATCCTCCATAACTGAACTGCCCGACCAGGTCGAAGATGTCCTAATTTGTTGTGCTTAGAAGAGCAATTACTGGTGCATTTCCGTCAAGCGAGCTTCCAAAGGTGGCAGCAGCCTGCAAATGGACCAACAAGAAACTCAATTCTTTCGTATTTGGAGGGGGGAAATATTACCTTCCCCGTTGTTATTTCACAGTACAAAACTTTAGGTTCTCATTACTAATTTTTACTTCTGTTACTACTACTATCATAAAAATATAAAAAGCTTAATTTACACTTGTTTTCTTATAGCTATAGCTACTAGTGCCTCCAGCAACAATTGGTGTATGCATCCTTTTTTAACTGCATATGACCTTTTTATTTAATTGAGAGCGGTTTGTGTCATTTTTCGTTTCAAACCCAAGGAGGCACAACAATTCATTTTACTTCTTTAGCAATACAATTTTCTAAAAAAGATTATTCCCATAGTCTTCATTTGCCTTTTGTAATATTAGAAACTTGATATTATTCCACATTATTCCGATAGTTTAGGCATGACTGAAAATTATACCTCTTCATAACTGGTACTCGACAGGAAAAATGGTTCTTTTTCTCGAATCCCGCCATTCTCTGCAACAATTCTTTCTAAATCCTGTGCCAACAAAAGAAAATAGCCAAGTACCAGAAAAACATTAAAACTACGATCATAATAGTAATGAAAGAACAGCCAAAAAATAGCATTTTATCGAGTATGAAGTACAAGGTTTTGGTTGTGTTGAGATTGAAATGCATACCTTTCCTGTCAAAATTTCATACTCGAGCAGTTCCTCCACAATTTTCTCCAGGACAAGATAATTTTTCTGAAGCACAACTTTTGCCTTGTCATATGCCAGGTTGTATATCTGCAGATATTCAATTTAATAAGCTTTAAAATGGTGGCACCTTTAGAGCTCGAAATTCGTTTCCATGTGGAAGATAGAGAAATTGACTTATATAATATTGGACATTGTAGAAACTACCCACTGCTCAAAACAGCATATCTTTAATCCAATTTTTCAATCGAAGAGACGGTCAGGAAGGAGAGAGGTGGGTGTATATCGCTCAAAAGAAAATGTAAGAGGGCAAATTGTTTAAGCTTTTCTTTTTCGATATACATCTAAAATATTTGTGTGTGGGTGTGTGAGAGCACGTAGAATCACAAATATTATGCACAAGTCACGTACTTTTTCAACTTTAGCAGCCATCTCGTATTCGAAGTTGTCTCCCATACTCATAGCTGTCACCTGTACCAATAATGAATACCACGATGCTTATGAATATGAATAAAAAGGAAACTAAATCAAGCATAACAAACATGCGTCGCACACTGTTTGTTGTGCAAATCATATTCTAACACCACAAAAATGACGTCCCGCTATTACTATTTCTGGTAAAAGTTTCTTGCGAATGCCCTTCGGAATGAATTTTAATATTCTTATAAAACATTAGCAAGATGAATACCGCATTTCCGTGGTGGTAAATTGTTGGACTGTCATCCGGACCCCACCCATACTGAATAACCATCCTAGTAGCTATCTGCACCAAAGGACCTACCAAAGTCAGATGAATGCAAAATATGGTACAAAATAATAGAAAATGCAGCTACAACCTCTTGTGCTTCCTTCAACTCTGAAGACGAAAGAATGTTTTCTTCCCCAAACGGAAGCAGTAGTTGTGAGGCAACGTAAGACCCAAAGCAGAACACAATCTTCTTTTCGAGATATGCTCTCGTCTCAACATTCCCATTAACGGAATCTTCACTCCTAGTCTTGGTGATCTTGGTGCATCCAATTCCCTGCAATGTGAAGAGCCGAATTCCGGTAGTTATTGTCGTGAAAGCTATTTCGTAAAGGTATCGGTTTAATAAACTATGATATTTATAAGAAGGGTCGTCATTTGCACAACTCTAAAATGATGGAAACTAAATCCCAACAGAAAAATTAATAGGAAGTGGAAACGGAAACTCTAATGTGAAGAATTTTATCTGAAATGGATAAAACCCCACCGTAGTGACTGAAAGAGCACGAAAGGAACATAGTAATAGTTTTACTGATCCAGACATACATGAAAACAAGTATGCAATAAAAGCTCAATAAGCAAAGAGAATGTAATTTTATCTTGGTGATAATAAATTCTAAACACGATCAGAAGTATATCACGTAAAAGACATACCTCCCACGAAGAAGATTCAAGCCATAGATTATCAACAGCATCGAAATTTGGTAACAGAAGAGCCATGAGACTACGACCAGCAGCCCAAACAGCATGGGGAAATTTTGTTTCCCTAGTCCACTATAAAAAAAAAAATCAAATTAGAATTTAGTTCTAAATTGTTTATGCGGTGTGCAAAACGAAAAAGAGTGCTAACCATGGATGTAGTAGATGTACACAAAAATCCTTGACTAAAGTCTAATGGAATTAAATAGAGGCAAATCTAAAGTGGTTCATGAAGACTCCTACAAACATATTTTCTTGCATAGAAACGATATATCTTTTAACAACCTCAAACTAGGAGTCGTTGGTCCACTCACAATTCAATCAAGGAAGAGACAGAACCACTCGCAACCCCTTTGAGCTATCATTTTGCAATTTCCGAAACAATGCTTTCAAAAGGAGAATTTGTTGATTGACCTAATGAGATATTCCCATGCACGGCTCCCAGTCGAGTTTTCTAAAATGGAACTTGATGATATGCTTGAATGTAATGAGTAACAATGAGACTAACAAAAAGATGTGAACGAATATATATCCAGCTTATAATATAATATTCTTGTAGTTCAGTATCTCCAGCTTCAAACTTCATCTTAAGGCCACCAAAATTTAACTTGGTACATGAACTCCAATTTAAAAGGCTTTCACCTCTGATATATGGTGGCATAGACAATAGAGATATCACATTAAATTGGATAAGTTTCTTGGATATGCCAGTTTATACCCAATCGAGAAAAATGGAAATGCTTTTGGAATCACAATGCAAAAGCGAACTGCGTTAGACCAGATTTCCTTATTATATAACTTTTCTTGCAAAGGTATGGAGCTACTCAATAAGGTCACTTACGTCAATAGGTGGACTCAGTAGTTCTATGCCGCCGTTCATTATTTGACCATATGGTTCCATTAGGTCAACAACATCCTGCAAATCCTCTTTCGTCAATGTCAGGCCAAGATGATTCACCAGCATCTTGCTTATCTGCTTCGAAGTTTTGGTTTTCCTCACCCAACTGGGGACTAAGTCACTGAAAGTCTGCATAACAGCAAAATAGATTCACAATACAGCAAAATAGATCGTATTTGGAAAACATAAATGGACCTTATATCAGCCAATTGTCAAGATGAGACGAGGGAAAGAAATATTCTTACTGCAAACCAACTGCAATAGCTCATAAGTTCATCCATGTCAACAAACTTTCTTCTGAAGGCACTACCTTCTAAAGACAAGGGGACAAGTTTCAGTTCTATAGGACGAAGAAGAGATGTTTTTTCAGCAACCTGCAAGGTTTAGATATGATGATAAAGATGATTGTTATCAGCTGGTGGGAAACAAATTGGTGTTCAGAAGAGGTAAACGTGTAATAGCACAAATATGCCATACAGAGCAATTGCGAAGTAATTCTGATTACCTTTCTCCAATCGACAAAGTCAATAAGATTCTCGTCCATTGTTTCTTTTGCAGAATTACGTAGGATTTTCTCTCTTTCTGTTTGAGTTGGCCGTTGAAGATGAAATATTCTATCCATTCTACCAGGACGCTGCAAAGCCTCATCAATTTGTTTAAGATTTCGACTAGTAGCCATCAAAACCACCCCCTCTTGTTTCTCAAACCTATAAAGAATAGAGCAAATGAGCAACAGGAACATTGATATTACAACAGATATATGAAATTATTTTGTGTCCTGAACCGCTTCCCCATACAGTTACAATATTTCACAATGCCTTGTCTTCAATGCAATAGCCTATGAAGCAATTCCAGGATGTAATAATTTTGGAGAAGGCACCCAAAAACAAAAAAGGGCAGTAGCCACGAAAACATTTGATGCAGATAATCTTTCACTAGTCTAATCACAGAAAAGTCATCAGTCTAAAGAGGATAAAGTGACACCTTTATAGATCAAGTTTCATCACATGAACAACACCAAAGAACAAAGGCAATACCACTAGTTGATCCAACCGAGGCACACAAAGCATATGCCTCAGACTGACTAGCTTTGCTTACAAACTCTATAAAATTAAACTTGTGCATGGAGTCATGGTTTGGAAATCTAAAAGGGGTGGGCCAAAAATTGCAGCCAGCTACTCACTTTATCCATGTAACATAATTTGTAGAAGTAAAATAACAAGATAAAAAGTCCTAATTTAGTGGAATGCTGCATAATGATTGTACTCTGCAACAGTTTATGGATATGTTTACCTGGGAAAGATTACGGGATACAACTTAATATAATATAATAAATAACACTAAAAAACATGCATTGAATTGCAGTACAGAACTAAGACTCCGGTCGTGTAGAAAAGGTTCCGGGCCTAATAATATATTAAGTCAGCACCCAGCACGGTTTATAATGCATTATACAACTAACAGAAAAAGAAAAATACCCATCAAGTTCCACCAGAAGTTGATTGATGAAAGACTCATGATCCTGCTTTTTGGTGTGAATGAACTTGCCACGGACACCAGCAAAGAGGTCAAAATCCTCCACAAATATAATGACAGGAGCCTAGAAGAACGATGATCAACTGTCAAAAACATGCTCAACCAAAAGAATAAAAGTAGAATAGTGAAAAAACTGGTTCTGTAAAGAAAGTGAAAATGAGAGGGGGCAAAAAAAAAAGTAGGTCAAGTTTCCTATCTTAATAACACCAATATATTCTTTTGTGAACCAAATATAGTGTTTTATTAACCTCCAGTATGTGACGCTTTAAGTTTCCTGACAATTCTTGATAAATTAGAAATAAAATGAATGAGTAGGAATAAAGAAGCAACCAGATCTCGTGCTGTTTGAAACAATTCTCTAACATTTGACGCACTTTGGCCCACCCAGAGACCAGCTTCCAGCTGTTGTGCTTTCACTTCAACTAAAGGAACCTTTGCTTCAGCTGCTATAGCCATTGCTAGGGATGTTTTACCTGTTCCTCTCTCGCCAACAATGAGAACACCCTGTGATGCATGAGTGTAAAAGTCAATGGGAAGTCATATGTTAGAAAAGAAACTGCATTTGGATCATATCTTCATAAATGACATACCCGAGGTGCACGAGCTCCCATCTCTTTGAATGCGTTAGGATTTTGCAGAAATGCCACAACTTCATTAATTTCTTCCCTCATAGATTCAACACTGGCAAAGTCTTTCAACCGTATGGGAGGATTTTTTATCCTCTGAGATCAGTGATAAAAAAAACTATTATAATTACGAAAAAAGACTGAAAACATTGAGACAAGCGAGTGTAGAGTGACAACCTTCATATTATCAAAAGCAGTGCTTATTGGATCAACGCCATCCTTTTTCTTACGCTTAATTTTCCTAATTCGATATCTAAAATAATATTTCTGCAATACAACATAAAAGGTGATAAAACAACCAGTGAAGTGGTAAGTTAATTGCTTGCATCAACAATAAACATGAGGTAAGTTAATCTGAAAAAAAATGGACAAATTGGATGGATGATAAATCAGTAACATCAAACACTCTTGATTTATTTGCAATTGCATTTAACTATCAGCAATTATAGCTGGCAGATAGAACTTTACCACTCTACGCAACTTCCTGAAGTTGGGATCTCTTCTTAAAGGCCCAAAACCAAGAGCTCTTGGAACTTTTCTCTTCATAAACCGGAATACATGATATAGCACATATCCATATATGCCGGTTCTCACCCCAAACCAAAAATACCACTGAAACCCATCCCTTTTTCGTTTTATAAAATTAGTTTCAGCCTCGGACTGCCACTTCAAATACCAAGTTGAGCCGACAGATACGTCAGAATACTCTGGCCAAGCCATGCCCAAACTCATCCTAACCTACATGAATGGGAAAAAAAATAGTGAAAAGGAATGCATCATAAGACCAAATTAGGAGAGTTGATACCTGGACTTGGTTATTAAAGCCAAGGTCCAAAACCTACCCCTCATATTTTCTCATTTCTAACGGGATTTATATAATATTAAAAAAAAACGAGAATGAAAGAGAATAGTGTGCCGTAAGAGAATAAAAGGAGAACCAAACAAATGGAAATAGCTTACGTTTCAGAAATTGAATGAACATTTTTAGCAATTCTACTGCTTACCTGATAAGGGATAAGAAACTCCACAACAGGGAAAACAATCATCATCATTATGTCATCATTAGTGTTCCTTATTCTTAAGAGGGTCCAGTTCTTTGCCTTCGAAACCAAAGAATTTCTCCAAAATCCAGTAAATAATCGACGACATAATGTCACCGTAACGAGAAACTGCTGACTGAAATTCAATTCTGAAAAGGGGATCCACATCAGCTGAACTGCAGTTGGGATACCAGCCGCAATCATTCTCAAATACAATGCATCAAAACCCCCAAAATCTTCAAACAACATCTCAAATTCCTGTTACAGAAACAATAACATTGTATAACTCAGTCGATAGAAGTTGCAGAAAAATATCGTTTTTTTGAAGAAGGAAAAACGACAACAACCTACTTTGACATCCACATAATATTCCTTGTCACTCCCCTTAAGCCTGATGTACATGGCAGCCCAATCATGCCTAATTCGAGCATTTTCCACAAGTTTATTGGATACAGCGTAGGGAACAGCTATCGGATCCAACTCCCATCTATTCCTTTGCTCATTATACCAAGTCCTTGATGCCACTCTATCCCGATCCCGAAGAATGCGTTCCTATAATTCGCATTTTTAAATGAGATATACGGAAGGAGCAAAAGAAACAGCGCATTTCACATGCAAAGAAAGGCTAAACTTGAGCTAATCACAATGATTTCACAACTTATGCACATCAAATAAAGATTATCTAGATTTCTGATTCAACAGAAACACAAACATGGATGAGAAAAATTCGGCTATTCCATTATTTTTTTTCTGGCAATATTACCTGTCTTTCAGCCACGTACTTTTTACCTAGATCAGGATCTTCCAGTAAACTTCTTTTGAAGTCCATCTTGGCATCCTCTCGCCATTTCTTCCAGCCACTAAATAAATTGCGGCTCACAGCTTTCGGGACTACTACTTCCTTCTTCCCAAACATCCACTTCAGCTCAATATCAGGATAACCCTTTACAACTTCATCTGGTGGTGTGATTTCGACAAAACGTCTTTCCTCACCATACTTCTTCATAGTTTTTCTGATGTCAGCCTCCATGTTCTTTTGCAACTCTCTTGAATCTCGAAGTCTTTGTTGTATCCTATGTGCAAAAGCAGTTGAATCTTCAACGGATTGCGAATCCGTATCCTCACTTACCAGGACCCTCGGTAAGATTACTTGCTCCTGAAATTTCCTATTTGCATCCTGCAGTTCTTTCTGAAGCTCGCCTTTTGAGAGCTTGGTAAGAGGGGATTGTGGGGTACTGCAAGTTCATGAGACCAAAAGCAGTATAAACAGCAAAGTTGGATGAGATCATTCAGCTCAGGATTCTAAATTTGCGCACCATGCAGATAACTCAGCTCCTTTTCAAGAATTTAGAATTCAGGCAGACATTTCATGTTCTAAAAGAAAAATGTCGTCAAACTTAGATGAACAAATGAATGAAACATGATTCAGTCCTGCAACTCTAAAAGCCAATGCATTTAGACAATATGTCAGCAATGTAAATACAACAAAGTTAAGTCAAGCGGAAATGAGAAAGGGAGAAACACAATTATCGGCTTGATAATAATTTGAACTTAGACAATCAAACATAAAAAGAAAAGGGAACCATATTTAATGTTCAAGTTCATTCTTCTTACGAGAACTTCATCTCAGGTGTTTGTAGCATATAAGCATCTAAATCATTACAAAATTACAATTAGGGGGTTCGTTTATTACCTTTCAGTCTTGATCCTTTTCATTTCCTTAAGGAAGCTCTCGGCCAACGCCTCACACTCTCTCTCGATAAACAAAAGCTCCCTCACACCAATGCTCAATGCCATAGTTTCTTTCCTCTCACTCAAATCTTCAATTTCGCCAATCCTCTCCCATATTTCGTTATATTCATTCTCCAAACTCCTCCTTCCCTCCCTTAACCTCTCAATCTTAGCAACACCACCTTTCACTTTCTTCGCCAAATTCTCCTCCTCCCTCTTCGACTTAAATACTTTGTCCACGATTTCCTCCGAGCGGTTCATCAGCGTCTCTTTCTCTCCATTCAAAACCCTCAGCTCCGCGTAAAGACCGTTCATTATCTCTTCTTGTAATGCCCCCTTAGTCGTTTTCACCTCTGTAACCCCCTCCTCAACATTCATAGCGAAAGTCTTCCTTCCCCTCGATTTTTTGCAGCCTCGATTATCTTAAGCAGCTTCGAGACAACTGTCAACAAACCTTCTGGTACAACTCGAAGTACTCGTGCCCATTCTCCCTCGGTTACAACTAATCTGCTCGCAGCCGCAGGAGGAGCGGCGGCGGCAGCCAAAGCCGGTCTCCGGAAACCCGAAGAACGGAAAGCAAAATCCGAACACGATGCAGAGCAATGCATAAGCAACCGGCTTGGCAATGGCGAGTGCATTGTTTTCTTCGTCGCAGCGTTTGGGGTTGTTGGATAGGATTATGGGTCGGCTTTCAATTACCTTATCGTCATTAACAGAACAACGAACGGCGGCGGCCGCCGGAGCTCGAAGTGGGTGAAGGGGTGAGAATGATTTGAAAAGGAAAGTGGAATTGCCGGTGAATGGGGCGGCGGCGGTGGTGGTGGTGGTTCTGGGTTTGGGTTTGGCGCAGTGGCGAAGAGGGAAGCTGAAGAGTGAAGGGTTTTGAAGGGGAGGAGAGAGAGTAGAATACATATCACCACCATTCACCACATTTGTGCTTTGATTTTTGGAAGAAAGAGATAAAGTTCTCTCCCGGGGGTTTGGGGGGTTTTGAACCTGAATTTTGGGGACGAAGCCCAAATGCAAATTCTCAGTCCTTATTTTTTTGCTATTGCTGTAAATTATAAATTAATTAAATAAATAAAAAGAATTGCTATTTACGATGGACGGAAACTTCTACTCGCACGCGTTTCCACGTATCGGAAACTTTTCTTAAAAAAAAATGTTTTGACACCCCTGAAACAATTACCGGAGCTAAGATTTCATGTCCTGGTGACCGATATGCACTATATTTGTTTTCTGCGGGGCCGTTAATGCTACCATATACGGAAATTTGTAAATCTTATATAAAATAATATGGATTTAAGAAATGTATGTCAGCCCCTAACTATATGTTTTCTCCACCACTGTTTAAAACTAATAGTTCGTTAGAACCCTAACGGGATAACTTATCGAATGCATTATTCCGTTAGGGTTTCTAACAATGTTTTAGAGGGATGATTGTAATTACTGCATACTTCAAGATATAAGAAAAATATAATCAAATTTATGCCCCCGAATGTCATTTGTGGAATGATAGTTCCGATTGGAACTTGTATATTATATATAATTTATAGATACAGATATATAATTAATTACTCAAACAAAGTACAAATATATAATTGACGATAAATAAAGTAACCATTATAATACTTTTTAATAACTATGAATGTACCCCTTGTATTTTTTTTTTATTTATGCATTTCCCCCAAGTTTCAGTATCCAACAAGTTGGAACATGGAGTTTACCCGTGTCAAAAACTGTAAACAAGGGTACTAAATGCAATAAACTCTAAATTAAAATATGGGAACAAACAATTCAATAAGACCAAAATAATTCAGATAGAACATCGAAAAGGTTCCATTGGCAGAAGTTCATTAGTACATTCTTTTTTTTTTATATGTCTAGGTTTTTAATTATAGGAGCCAAACAGTACAAGCAATCGAATTATTGGCCGCTCCCATCTTTGTGCAAAATATATTCGATGAAAATCTGCTAGCTTTTCCCCGGAATCGAGACTTCAGCACTGCATACAGGACAAACCTACACAATTTGCCGAATCATGTCATTAAATATTTTCCTCTTTCTCGAACATTCAATGCACATAAACGAATCTTCGAAAAAGCAAAACATACTAATTAAATATCAATAGTGTGGCAAATATAAAAGAGCATCTAGGGGTAAGAGTTCGGAAACCCGAAACCAATTTCGAGCCCTGGATACAAATTTACGGATGTTTATGTGATTAATGTCAAGATCGTGATAACCAGAATTGCAAGAAGCATACAGGTAAGTCTAACAAACTTTCGTTTGGCGAAAATTTACCTTGTTTATATTTAACCAATTGCTAATACACTCGGGATGGTATAAATGTTTGCAAGAGAGAACAGTCAAGTTATCGTCATCCTCATAGTCCAACCTGCATATAACACAGCTGAGGGAGAAGGATAAAATTTTTGTCAGCATTCCTTAAACAGAAGACGTAATATCGTTTCGGCACAAGTAGAGGGCCTCGTTCACTTACGAATCGCCGTTTCCTTCATGAGTGCCTTTTGAGTTATAGTTTACGGACGGCAATGAAGCAATTGCGTCTGCAGAAAGACCCCTACTCTCTGTTCCAATGACATCGCCCAGTGCAATCAACTCCTGTAACAGTAAATCAACTATATCAAATTGAAAACAAACCCCAAGAAGAAAGATGATAGAAGTACTGTGCAATCACTATTTTACCTCATACGACAGTTCATCGGGATCGACCTCCTCCCATGCATCCTAATATTAAAAAATACATGAATCACAACAAACGGGGAGAGAGGAAATACAGACACTTAAAATGTAAGCTCATACAAGAATATACGGACAATCATTCCTTTGGCACACTCTTATTAACGCCATCTCAGATATGTTTAGATTTCAGTAGTTTACATACACTGATAATACATCTAAATCTTGGAGCAAATATGTTGTACAAGCCTGTAATACGACATTGATCAAGCTTAAGCGTCTCCTCCCTAAAAACAACAGTATGGTGGTGCTAAAACGGGTTTTGCCAAGTTATATTTGTTCATGGCCTAAATTAGAGTAAATATATATTGGCAGGAATGCCAGGAATAAGCAAACAACAACTTCCAGAATCATTTAAATGTGTACGGCACTATAAAAAATTACAGGACCAAAACCAGAAAGATATGTCAAACACTACGGTGTCAGAGCGAAAATGATGTTGTTTAGTAATAAGGAGCTTCATGACATATGCACAGACGAGATAAAAACCAAATCACGTCAGACATACCTGAGCATTACTACCATGCTCCTCTTCATCTTCATCATATTCACCATCATCATCATCATCATCATCTTCTTCTTCATCATCCTCCCCAACAACCACTACAGAATCGTTAAACGGCATTTCAATATCACATAGTTCTCATACATTGTCCAAAGGACAATAAACAAAGCAAAGAACTAAATTATGGTCAATTCAGACTCACTATCATTTATTCCAGCTAGGGCTAACAATCTAGCTGCCATTTCCCGTTCTTCAGCATCCTGCAAGGCTCTAGCATATGCCTCGTCACTCGAAAAAGCAGATGGATCTACTTCGTCGTTTTGACTATCACTTTCTACTCCTCCAGCACGGGCATGCACATCAAAAGCATCTTCTGCTTCATCATCCACCTCGACATCAGAACCATCATAATCCTCTTCACTGGCGTCATCATATGCATCAACCTCATCCTCATCCTCGTAGCTCTCAGCTTCCCAACTTCCGTAATCACTGCCTTCACCCATATCCATTCTCAACATCATATAAGCTCTTTCCTGTTCCAAAAAACATATATTAAATTAAATTTATCAACAACAATAAATAACACTATGACATGTTTTCTGTTATAGTTAAGATCACAAATATATCAGTCATTTTCGTTTTATGCCCAGAGGTGAAGCTATATAATAAAGAAAACAGCCACAACATGCGTAAGTGTATGTATTGGGTGCCTGAAATAATTAGCAAGGATTATCATTAATTCCTGATATAAAAACTGTAAGGAGAACATTGGCACATAAAGAAAAAAAAAATAGCATGTAACTTCAAGCTCAGAATCATCATTTTAAATGCAGATGTAGGAATGTTAATAACACATGCAAAGAGAAGATCAATAACCATTACCGATGAAGTGTCGCCCTATTACTGGATCTACAACTCTTTCACTAGCCCCCTTCTGAAGTTTAATATAGAAGGCCAAAGTTCTCTCACTGGGTAATCAATAATAACTCACACACCGTAAACCATTGGTAACTATCATGGTGATGATTATAGAATTGAGAGAATTCACAAAACGAGGACGAAATAGAAACTTCACCGAGAGTTTTGTTTTAGACACTCCTCAAAAGCCTAAAAATACAAGAACTGCGGAAATGATTAATGGCTTGTTCCCCACTCGGCAAAAGGGGAATATTTTAAATGTCCGTCATTGGTGTCAATATCCCTAACTCATACATATTGGGCTTCCATAACTCTTTCGTGTCACTACTTTTATAAAGGGAATAACGTAGGAGCTATAGAATGCAAGTGTTGTACCAACTTGGTTCCTCCCCAACTGTCTTCGAATGAGAATGAATGGGAATCATTTTCATATAGCCTAAAATAGCACTCTTTGACGCAGGTTCATAAAAATCTTAAGAGGCGAATGAGAATGAGTGAATTCGTCCATATTTTGTGATATTCTCTTTGGTAACTACTAAAGATACCACAACAATGACAAAGGGTTTATTACTCTAGTAGACAGTAGTATCTACAGAAGTCAAGAGGACTTTAAACGTCGCATTTGAAGGGGCTGGTCTAGAGTTGTAATTCCGGTGGATAATCGACTACACCTTCACTTTTAAAAAAGGTAATACCAATTTACCCAATCATTTGCATATCAAAATATATTCTTAAATTTCCTACAGCAGAGAAGGAGAACAAAAATAGGAATGCCAAATACAATTCGACGAAATTCCAGCTGCAACTCTGAGAACTGCCCAAACCAACAAGGTTATCACCGCATGATTATAGAGAATCGAATGTTCGGACAAATAATTAAACCCAACTTCAAGGAGAATTCGAGCAGTTCAATTTCAAAACAGACATCTTTGGAATTGAAATTGATAGCAACAAAACCCAAATAGAAAAAAGAAAGAAAAAAAAACCTGTTCTTGGAGGGTACGGGCAAGGGCAAGATCCGCATCGACTTGACTGAGGTTCGTAAACGGAGTTCTCCGTGGACGATTTGCGGCGGCGACGGCGGTGGCGGCGGCGGCACCGTCGCCTTCGGTCGGTGGATTATTGGTAGGGTTTTGTTCTTCGTCGGCGCGAACGGTGGTGTCGACGGCGTCGGCCTTGGAATTAGGGTCCGCCATCGCTTCACAAGAAATTCGAATTCGAACAATCTCGAATTGCAGAAGTAATGGAGAACGGAAAATGGAATGCGGAGAGGAAGCGGAAGAGGAAGAGGATATTCGAATTTCGAAATTTGGGGAAGTAAAATAATTACCAATAATTTAGGGAAGAGAGACGTAGAAGAAAGCGGTGCTTGATAATAATGAATCCCCGAACTATAACTATTTAGCAATCACACCCCTTAAACATTTAACATTTGGCATCCACATCCCTGAACTCTGATCATTTGGCAACATCTACTTTTGTTTAGTAATTCTTTTTATGTGAAAAATGTATAATATTAATAAAGTAGACAAAAATATATATGTTTTATATTTATGTATCGAAATTAGAACTGTCAAATTAAAATAAGTATTGGTAGAAAATATTTCAATATTTAAGTAAAAACTCCATTTTTATTACCAATTTGAAAATTTATAATGAAAAAATAAAACTTAGAATCAAATCGGATCGGATCAAAATGATTTTTTTTTTTTTTTTTTAATGACAATTAATTTTCTTACTTTAAAAGAATTGATTTTTTTTTTTTTTTATTCTTACTTGGCCCCTACCCGGTGAGCAAAAAAACCGAAAAACCGAGCCATTTTAAACCGTACCGAATAGCAAACCGCATGTACGGTTTTTTATTTTTGAAATACCGAATTATTCGGTTCGGTATGGTGGGAAGGTAAATAACCGAACCGAAAAACCGAACCGAACCGAAACTATAAAATGACTTCATTTTATATAATATATGTATTATTTTACCCTAATTAATATTTATTTTCTATCTTTCAATTACTTGTCTCATTCTAAGCATTTGTTCATAAATTGAGACATTGTATTTTATTTATTTAGTAAGTAAAAATTTACTTGAGTTCATGGTTTTAATAATGTGGTAGATGAAAGTAGGAAAAAAAATGAAGCATAATACATCATCTAAATTACGTAAGTCCTATGAAATTAAAGATTTTATATTTTCATTGCATTAGTAAGTTGTGAAAGTAATTGTAATTGTATTTTTTTGTTTGTACAACAACTTGAATATATATTGACACTTGAACCGAAAAATAACCGAAACCGAACCGAAAAAAACCGAAACCGAAAGAAACCGAACCGATAAAAAATCGACATACACGGTTTTTAATTTTACAAAAACCGATATATTCGGTTCGGTTCGGTTTGTTGGCTAAAACCGAACCGAAGCGACCCGTGCACACCCCTACTTGGCCATTTCTTAATGTCATACTCTCAAAAAGCACATCCTATTTTGTACTCAATGATTACAGGACACCTACTTATGTTTAAATAAGACTCGTTTTATTTTGGAAATATATATTTTGTGGGAATAATTTAAGAATAAAAGTAATGATTGTTTATTTATGCACGTCAAATCATGTTTAAGTGTGTTTGATCAGCTTAAAAATCACCTTTGGAATCCTTGTATGGCAGTTTGTGAGCCCGGAACTTGGCGTCTATCGTGCTCAATTTATCCTGCACAGGAATTAACTGGACTGACCGAAGTTAGCACTACGACGATCAAGTCAGTGATTTGGAGTAGTTTTAGGTAGAATAATGTAGATTAAGAGTTTTTCTTCTGTCTTACCTGGTAGATCTGAACTAGTATTTATAATGTTCTAACCTGAACCTTACATAAAACCCGGGCGAGCAGGTGGGCCGACTGCTTTCCCACCTTTGTCGGACGACGTTAAACATCATTCTCCTCGGGATGGCTACGACAACCCTTCTCCGGGTTTCCCGGCTTAGCCTGACTTGGGAGCCTTTTATCGAAGGCGGTATTCAGTCATTCGAGCATTAAATGTTGGTGTCAGAGTATTTAATACGCCGGTGCAAGCATAAAGAATGATTGTCAGCCATCATTAATGCGCTGCATTTTATCGCCGCTAAAAGCCCCCTGGTGGGACCCTCGCGCCCCCTTCGCCCAAGCGAGTGACCGGTCCTTACTCCTCGGGCATTAGTCTCCTCGGTAGCTTAAGGAGCGAGGAGCATCTGGTGCTTAGCCTTCTCTCCGTTGGGCCTGCTTGGGAAGGCTTTATAGTATGTTAGTTTAATTTGGGCCGAATGAGGCCCTGCTATTTTGGGCCTGAATTCCTTTCGGATTAGTGTTTGAAATAGATAATTTAGCAAAGAATCTGATTAATAAAATGATGTTTGTTTGCTTTTTAGTGGACATATTTTACCGTAACAGTTAAATTTTTTTACCGTATAAGTTAAATCATGTATGGAGGAGAAATAATATGTTTGGAATTGTTTTCGGGATTTTTTTGAAAAAAACTTAAAAAACACGAATTTATATAAGGAATAAAATGTCACTTTGAAATTTTAAGACATGACAATTTTTGTTTGTTCCACGGGGCAATTTTTTTTTTTTGTGTGGTTTTGATTTGGGGTTTTTAAAATGGTGTTGTTTGAGTAGGAGTTACCAAATTGGGGTTGGCCGCCACCGGCAACGGCCGGAGACGCCACTGCCACCGGCGGCACCAGCTGGAGACGCCGCCTCCGGTGGCGTCATCTAATATTTTTATAATTTAATATTTTAATATTTTAATATTTTAATATTTTAATATTTTAATATTTTTTAATATTTTATTATTTTAATATTTTTTTTTAATATTTTTTAATATTTTAATATTTTAATATTTTAATATTTTAATATTTTCTAATTTTTTAATATTTTGTGATTTTTAATTTTTTTTTAAGAAATAAAACAATTCTAACTACATTCATTAGTTTGATGTTAGTATTAAATTTATTACATTTTAGCAATTAGTATTAAATTAATCATTGCATATATTTATCTAATCAACACAATAAAATAGGGTACAATCTTAAAAACATGTAGACAAAAACAAAACGAGTTCTAGAAAATAAAAGAGTTATATAAAATAAATAGGTCCAATAAAACAGTTATATAAAATAAATAGGTCCAAAATGAGTACAAAGACAAAATGAGTACAAGAAAATAAAATTGGCACTATGAAGTCAGTGCCTATGTGAACCAGTGCCACATGCAGGTGCCCGTCTAGTCCTACGCGGCCTACCATCTCGACGAATGTCAAGATCTGCCGGTACATCATCAACAAACTAGGTGTCATCCGGTGGATATGGAACAGGGGAAACATTATACTGTGGTCGGATCCGCTCTTGGGGACTTGAGTATCCCAAATTGAGCTCCAAATGTGGACCCCATGAAGAGAACCGAGTATCAATAGCAGGAGGATATGGGGTAGCTAGAGAATCGGACCATGACATATGTGGAACGTAATCATTCGTAGATGGACCAACTAAATCTGTAAATCTGGGTACCTGAGATGTAGACGCACCGAACATATCCATAAATCCCTGTGTAGTAGATAAATCGTCCATACCTCCGGATCGATATACATTTCTAAATCTTCATCTGCTGTTATCTCGGTAATCATCTCCTTCATTATTTCTCCATTATAAATGTAAGATTTGCAACACACTCTTAGCCCAAACTGATTAACATCGACATCTAGACGTTGATACAACTTTGACAGAAAATGTGCAAAGGACAAGTCACGTTTAATTCGGAATGTTGTTCTGTGGGCAATGCTATATTGCACTACCCAATCATCAGGAATTATGTGACCTCAAAAGTACACGTACACTTTGACATTATTTTTAGCCGCCATCAATCTTCAAAAGATTAAGGAGATAATTAACTCATCAATCCAGATTAATTAATAATGAGACACATTAGTTAAAAAATAATAATTTAATTAAGCATACCAAAAAAATAATTAGTCAATTTAATTTAATTGCCTCATGTTTTACAACACCATTTTAGCTACTGTTTTACAAAACAATACCAAAATTTTTTTTTGCCCATACTTATAAAATATAAATGGTACTAATACCAACTATAAAATAAATAAACTACTAACTAACTAACTAACTAACTACCCACATGCATCCTAAAAACACTAATCACGTGTATTTACAATAATTAATTAAAAATTTTGAACATAATAATAACTTTTTTCTTTTTTAATTATTTACAATAATAATAAAATATTACCTTGGTTGGGTGAAGAGCACCACCGAGCACCAGCGGCGGCGGAGACGCCGGCGGGAAAGGCGACGGCGAGGGAGGTAGCGGCGGCGGCCAGGCGGCGTCGGTGGCAGCCGGAGGTAATTATATTATATATTTTATTTTTAATTTGAAAACTAAATTTGGTTTTTTGTTTTTGAAATTTAACAGGAAGAAGAGAAAATGAGGAGTAGCAACTGGGAGGAAGAAGAGAAAATGAGGAGCAGCTTGAGGAGAGAGAATGGAGACGCCGTTGTCGGTGGCGTCTCCTAAAGACGCCGTTGTCGGTGGCGTCTCCTAAAGACGCCGTTGTCAACGGCGTCTTCTGGTCAAGCACAGCTGCCGAGGTGGCAGTCTTGATCTGGGCCGTCGGATTGAATTTTTCCAGTGCAATCTGGACCGTCTATATATTAAAATAATATAATAATAAAATATTAAAATAATAAAATATTAAAAAATATTAAAATATTAAAATATTAAAATATTAAAAATTTAAAAGCCGGTAGAAGATGCCACCGTTGACGGCGCCTCCAGCCGGTGCCGCCGTTGGCAGTGGCGTCTCCGGCCGGTGCCGCCGTTGCCGGTGGCAGCCAACCCCAATTTGCTAACTCCTCCTCAAACAACACCATTTTAAAAACTCCAAATCAAAACCACACCAAAAAGAAAATTGCCCCTTTGTTCCACTATACCCCACCATTAAAGACAAATTGATGAACAAATAAAGAGAAGGGTTGTTTTGAAAAATAAGATTTTTTTTTCCCTTTCCACCATCAAGAATATTTAATAATTTCCTTAATTGATGTGCATTAACCTATGTAGCATGGACACAGAAACGGCGATACGAGGAAACATGGAAATGGATACGGCGAAACGGCATGTTCCGAAAATGTAGATACGAGAACTTTGGAGAAACGTGTAAATATTAAAAGTATAGGGATATATTTATAAATATTCTATATAAACATATATAAGTTTATATATATATATATATATATATATATATATATATATATATATATATATATATATATATATATATATATATATACACATATATTCTTTTATATATTTTTTTATACAAACATATTCAAATCATATTTTACTATCAACTATCGATTTGCAATTGATCATGTAAATAATTTAAGAAACAACAAAAAAGTTTGAAGTTTTGCTATTCAAACTTTTTAGAAATTGCAAAATGACCTATAAGGTATCGGGCATGTGTCTTCGAGTTTACGACAATGTTAAAAAGTTGAGGTTTCCGTACTACACAGACATTAACCTTTTACAACACTTATTTAATTAATTATATTTTATTTCACCAACAAAACAATCCAAAGTAGTTTAGCCTTAGCGACAAGTATTTGTTCCAACTAATGGACAACTAGGGGCAGTTAGGTATTACCACCTTAATCAGTGGCATCGGCTATAGCTTGAGTGTGAACGTTCGATGCGAGTTGATTGTCGGGTTCGGGTCGTCAAACCCGCTCCACGACCATTGTCATTAATTAATTATGTCAAAATATAATATTTCAATTTTTTTTAATTAATTGAAGATAAATGAATTTTTTTACATATAAACATATATACACACATTATAATTCATTCTTCTTCAAAGGTTACATTAATAATATATATAAGAATCAAGCATTGTTGTTATGGTGGGCATTGGCAAGACCGGGTGCATCATCAGGAATATATTTACCCCAGAACCAATGGCTCTTCCATACTCTGTTCATCTCTTCGATCGGCACATTCTTCGTTTCCGGGATGAAAAAGTACACGAACACCGTCATCACGAAAACCCATCCCCCGAAGAAGAAGAACAACCCGAACTTCAAATGGCAAAGCATCGATAGGAACAGCTGTCCGATGACGAACGTGAAGAACATGTTCACCGACACGTTCATCGACTGTCCTGCCGATCTCGTTTCCAACGGGTGGATCTCACTCGGCACCAACCACCCTAGCGGTCCCCACGACCACGCGAACGCCGCCACGTAGATGCATATCAAGGCCAATGCCAAGTTCCCTTTCTCCTTGCTGAACGCGCCGTCTCCGGACACTCCGAAAACGGAAGCGATCAATGCTCCGGTGGCGATCTGGCACACGAACATCTGTATTCCGCCCTCCAGGAACAGGGCACGCCGCCCGAACTTGTCGACGGTGAACACGGAGACGACGGTGGCGAAGACGTTGACGAGGCCGGACACCACGGCGGACATGAGTGCGGCGTCGTCGCCAAACCCTAGGGTTTTGAAGAGGACCGGAGCGTAGAACATGATGACGTTGATACCGGTGAGCTGCTGGAAGAAGGGGATGAGTGCTGTGATCACAAGCTGCGGCCTGTACCTCGGCTCCATGATCGTCTTCCATGGATTCTCCACCAGCTTCGAAACCTCGCTCGCCTCCACAAGGTCGTCGTACTCCGCGTCCACCTCCGTCGTCCCCCGTATCTTCTGCAGCATCTCACGCGCCTCCTCCTTCATCCCTCTCTCGATCAACGAGTTCGGAGTGTCGGGGAGGAACAGAGCTCCGACGGTCATTATCAGCGCCGGCACCGCGGCGAGACCCAACGACACCCTCCACCCGTTCTCCTTCATCTGCGCGGTCCCGTAGTTGACCAGGTTGGCCGCGAAGATGCCGATCGTGATCGCCATTTGGAACCCTATGTTCAGAGCTCCCCTGATCTTCGCCGGAGCCATCTCCGATAGGTACACGGGGACCGACTGGTTGGCGTACCCGATGCCGACACCGAGCAGTATGCGGCCGATGATGAGCATCCACACGTTCATCGCGGCACCGTTGAGAATTGCTCCGACCAGGAAGACCAGACCCCCGACGGTCATGGAGGCTTTCCGGCCGAGTTTTCTGGTGGTGGCAGCGGAGAAGAAGGAGGCGACTAAAGATGATAGGAGATTTAGTATTAAGGAAAAGCTGATTTTATTTCATTATGTTCTCATATTTATACACACAATAGATGAACAAACTCTTCCTTTGCGTAAACCGATGGGAAGAATTTCATCAGAAACTCGTCCATCGATGTTACTCCTCCTACAAATTCATCAAATTATCGTCCAATAAAAAAACGACGATAGCTAGTAGCTATATAGGGGTTGGCATTCGTATCCGGTTATTCGGGATTTGACCCGAATATTCCAATCGGGTCGGGTTCGAGTAATATTTTTTATGCCAAAAACCCGAATATCCCGACCCGAATGCCCAGCCACTAGCTATATCAAATGAATTTCAAATTGTGACATATATAAAAAAATACGAAAATGAAATAACATCGATCACGTACCTGAAATACCAATGTCGTAACCGAAAATGAGTCCACCGGTAGCGGCCACAAGACAAGTGGCGATGACGAAAGGCGTAACACGTCCTTCATACTGCTTCCCACCACCGGAATCGATACCTACTCCAACCGCCATTGATCGATCGAGCTTTATTTATCCCTATTCGATCGGGTAAATATGTACAAATTGTAACAAAAGAAAGATTTTCTATTTATTATTTATTTATTATATTTGAGAGTGAAAAGGTGAAAGAAAGAAATTTTTTGGATAAGTTATATACTATCCTTTTTATTTCTTTCTTTCTCTTTTATTATTTACTCTCTATAATTATTATTATGCTTGACAATTTAACTTGTTCTAGTGAGGGTATTTATACTCATAAAGAGGGTTGAAAATGGAGAGGAGATCCGTGTTTCTCGGCGTTTTATCATCTGTGGATTTAATTGCATGGGTTGAAGGGTAATTAACTTGTGTTCAGGCCTTCCCTTGGCAATTAATATTGTTCCAAAATGTAACGGAATTCCAAAAGTTCCAAATCTGAAATTGAAATTGGATCGGAAATTGAAATCTCATATTTCTTCCACTTCCAATTCCGATAAAACAAAATGGTAATAATAAGAATTTTGGAATTCAAAATGAAAAATATTGGTAATTAATCAAAGTCTTTATTAATGCCAAAATATTGGGATTTTTTTATAAATGGGAAATTCAAAATGCTCGGATCCAAATGAGGCAATGTCTACAATACCTGGATTTAATCAGATACAATTTGAAGGATTTTGTAGGTTCATCAGGATTTGACAGAAGAACTTTACAAGTTTCCAAAAATTGAAGATACAAATTATTTGTAGAAAGATATCAATTGGTAAAACTAGGGGTGTGCCCGGGCCATAAACGCGGGTTCTATCAAGACCCGCCCTCGTCCCGTCAAACAACGGTTCTTGATTTTAAAGAACGAAACTTGTCGGTTTTCAACGGAGAATAATTAGAAACTAAAACATAAAATGAATAACCTAAAATCTAAAATTGAAACCAAACATAAATAATGTAAATGTCAGGAGTAAATAAAAATTAATATAAAACTAAAAATAACTAATTCAGAATTTAAAAGAAAAAAATTAAATAAAATAAATATAGCATTTTCAAGCATAACCAACGCTATTCAGCTCCATTCAACACAATTTTCTTCCTTCTTTTTTTTCATTCGTGTGTTAACCGTTGTATATATATGCTTTTTTTCCTACATTTTCTTAGAGATTTTCATAATCTTTATAGCTATTACTTCCACAATTATAGTTTAGTTTATTTATGTATTTGATACACTAGAGATACTTTATTTATTCATTAATATTATTAATTTATTATACTATATAATGTAAACAAAACGACGTCGTTTTGTATGGCGTGGCGGGACGGGTTTCACGGGTATTAAAAAAATAAACCCATCTTTCACCCAAACCCACGGTTTTTCACCATTATAGGACCCAATCCTATAGATGGATCTATCCGTTCGGTCCCAACGGGACGGTTTTTCACGGGTTTGACGGGTGTAACGGGTTGATGGGCCCGACTTGCTCACCCCTAGGTAAAAGCAGTGATAAAGGAAAGACCGACGGTCCGGTCCGGGAGGGTGGTGCCGACTTCGTATTTTAATTATTTATTTTTTTAAATTTTTTTATGTGCGGGCTCATGTCAATTGAACCATGAGATGGTATTTTTAGTTTATGATTTTATAGGTGGTTTTTTGAAATAAAAGAATTAAAGAAAGTTGATGAGATGATATAGACACGGCCACGGCCTGGGTTGGACCCAAACCCGACCCGAATTTGGACCCAACCTGCCTCGGACCCGACCCAGACCCAAGTTTGCATGGGTCGGTTTCGGGTCTTGTATTTGTGGACCCGAAACCCGATGGGTCGACCCGAGGACCCAACCCGTCGGCCTAATTATATACGTAGTAAAACTTTTTTCGGCCCAGTATAAATTACCCCTATTATAAAAGACCTTGAATTTTGGGCATATTGTCTAGATAAAAAACATTAAATAATATAACAAAATTGAGACACAAAATGGAATGTAATTAATTAGGATTTATAATATACTTGTTCCACATTATCTCTAACTTTACATTTCTAATTCTGCATAAAATGTATATTTTCCTGTTTTAATCTTATTGAAGCATTTATGTATGATTTTACTAAAATCAAGCCGCATTATTGAGTTACTCAGTACCCACCCAGGGATGAAAAAAGACGATTATTTAGGAACGGATAATGTAGTGAATAATCGATCGTAAACTGAGATATATTGTTCCATGGTCCTTAATTTGCTGCCCGGCCAGAGAAAGGCGCGTGAACATTAATTTACCTATTTTCTTGGACCTGCATGCAAATCCAGTCATTGGACAGTCCATTTTCAATCTTGTTCGTTGTATAAATACCCTAATTTGTACAAGTTCAAAACTCAGGTCAGGCAGAATAATAGAGAGGAACAAATACAAGGAAAAAAGAAATAAAAAAGGATAACAGAATCTCTCTCTCTCAAAAAATATAAGATAAATAAATTGAATAATAATAGTAGAGAGAGCTTCCTTATCCAAAAATATTTCTTTCATTCCTTTGTTTTGTACACTTTTTACCCTCTCGAAATCGTGATAAATAAAGCTTGATCGATAAAATGGCGGTTGGGGTAGGTATCGATTCTGGTGGTGGGAAGCAGTATGAAGGCCGCGTTACGCCTTTCGTCATCGCCACTTGTCTTGTGGCCGCTACCGGTGGACTCATTTTTGGGTACGACATTGGTATTTCAGGTACGTGATCGATGTTATTTCATTTTCGTATTTTTTATATATATGTCACAATTTGAAATTCATTTGATATAGCTACTGGCTGGGCATTCGGATCGGGTTTTCCGGATCGGGATATTCGGGTCGGATTCAGGTCAAAACCCGAATAACCCCGATACGAATGCCCACCCCTATATAGCTACTAGCTAGTGTCGTTTAATTTTATTGGACGATAATTTGATGAATTTGCAGGAGGAGTAACATCGATGGACGAGTTTCTGATGAAATTCTTCCCATCGGTTTACGCAAAGGAAAAGAACCCAATCGGCCACGAGAGTCAGTACTGTAAATTCGAGAACCATCTCTTGACACTCTTCACCTCCTCCCTTTACCTGGCGGCGTTGGTCGCCTCCTTCTTCTCCGCCGCCACCACCAGAAAGCTCGGCCGGAAAGCCTCCATGACCGTCGGAGGTCTGGTCTTTCTGGTTGGAGCAATACTCAACGGGGCCGCGATGAACGTATGGATGCTCATCATCGGCCGCATATTGCTCGGTGTTGGAATCGGGTACGCCAACCAGTCGGTCCCCGTATACCTATCGGAGATGGCTCCGGCGAAGATCAGGGGAGCTCTGAACATAGGGTTCCAAATGGCGATCACAATCGGCATCTTTGCCGCCAACCTGGTCAACTACGGGACCGCGCAGATGAAGGAGAACGGGTGGAGGGTGTCGTTGGGCCTCGCCGCGGTGCCGGCGCTGATAATGACCATCGGAGCTCTGTTCCTCCCCGACACTCCGAACTCGCTGATCGAGAGAGGGATGAAGGAGGAGGCGCGTGAGATGCTGCAGAAGATAAGGGGGACGACGGAGGTGGACGCGGAGTACGACGACCTTGTGGAGGCGAGCGAGGTATCGAAGCTGGTGGAGAATCCATGGAAGACGATCATGGAGCCGAGGTACAGGCCGCAGCTTGTGATCACAGCTCTCATCCCCTTCTTCCAGCAGCTCACCGGTATCAACGTCATCATGTTCTACGCTCCGGTCCTCTTCAAAACCCTAGGGTTTGGCGACGACGCCGCACTCATGTCCGCCGTAGTCTCCGGGCTCGTCAACGTCTTCGCCACCGTCGTCTCCGTGTTCACCGTCGACAAGTTCGGCCGACGCGCCCTGTTCCTGGAGGGTGGATCCAGATGTTCGTGTGCCAGATCGCCACCGGAGCATTGATCGCATCCGTGTTCGGAGTCTCGGGAGACGGCGCGTTCAGCAAGGAGAAAGGGAACTTGGCATTGGCCTTGATATGCATCTACGTGGCGGCGTTCGCGTGGTCGTGGGGGCCGCTAGGGTGGTTGGTGCCGAGTGAGATCCACCCGTTGGAAACGAGATCTGCGGGACAGTCGATGAATGTGTCGGTGAACATGTTCTTCACTTTCGTCATCGGGCAATTGTTCCTATCGATGCTATGCCATTTGAAGTTCGGGCTGTTCTTCTTCTTCGGGGGATGGGTTTTGGTGATGACGGTGTTCGTGTACTTTTTCATACCGGAAACGAAGAATGTGCCGATCGAAGAGATGAACAGAGTATGGAAGAGCCATTGGTTCTGGGGTAAATATATTCCTGATGATGCACCTGGTCTTGCCAATCCCCACCATAACAACAATGCTTGATTCTTATATATATATTCATCGAAGGAGAATGAATAAGAATGTGTATATATGTATTATAATGCAAATAATTGATATATTATAGTTTAGGGTGTAAAGAACTTGATGGAAGAGATAGGATTTTTATGTAAAGCTTTGGTCAATTTTCATTTGTTGTAAATAAAAACTTAAAAGATATACATATATTTGATTCAATGTATTTTTTTCTGGCCAAATTACAATTTTCAAAAGTTTTCAATTCTTAAGTTTGCATTGATTTCACATCTGGTCATTCATATCCGTAGTAAACACATTTAGCTCCACAAGTTTCAATAATTTAACATTTTTTGCCATTCGCGTTAATTTACCGTTAGTCTGTATGTTAAGACGGTGATTGATACATGATTGATTCCGTTGGTTCTAACGAAAAATTAACAGAAATGAATAAAATTGTTGAATGTTTGAAACATGAAGGATCAAATATTTTATTTATGAACATAAGTAGGGTTGTTCATGGGTCGGGTCGGTTGAATATCGGCCGATTATCGGCCCGACCCGACCAACCGACTATTGCAAAAATGTAAAACCATTATCGGCCCGACTATTATGGGTCGGGTAACGGTTGCCGAAATAGTTCGGTTCCAAATTATCGGCCACAGTAAATTTAAAAAAAAAAAAAGAAAAAAAAAGAAAAAAAAAGAAAAAAAAAGAAAAAAAAAAAAAAGAAAATCAGATTTTTTGCTTAGCCTAATTAAAATTCATCCCCTAACAATTATAAAACTACATCCCAAAATCAAGTTTCAACACGTATCTCAAATTACAAACTTCAAATTCAAAAAACAATACAAAATACAAAAAATAAAATAAAAAATACAGCAATAAAAATAAAAAGTCGGTTGGTCGGGTAATATCGGTCAACCGACTTTTCATCATATTAGAAACTATACCCGACCCAACTAAACGGGTCGCTTAAAATTATCGGCCCGACCAGAGCGGATCGATTGGTGGGCAATTATCGGCCACAAAAGTCGGGCTGATAGTGGGTCGGTTGTCGGGTAAAACCGACCCATGAACAACCCTAAACATAAGGACCAAATGTGAAATTAATGCAAATTCAAGAGATGAAAACTGTAACTTTCCCATTTTCTTCCTATTTATTTATTATTTTAAAATTTCAAGCATTTCAAAATACAAATATGTACTTTAAGTTTCTTTTAACCAGACCAACCTTCATTAGGAGAATTGATACCTAGACTTGCACCTAAAGGCGAAATCCCTCGCCTCCAGGGTCCTCATCCCTTGCCCCGACAAGGATTGATGGAGGTATCAATAGGGTAAAATGTCTAGGGTTCGAGTCCCCCTCCTCTACTTCCCTTTGTAATGACTTGAATTAGTCAAAAAAAAAAAAAAATCTTTTAACCAGTAAATTACGGGTGAATTGAGTGTGTTGTAGGGTAACTACCCAATACTAATTTGACCGAATAGTAGAATTTAGTCGTCCGGTTCAAGATAGTTCAAAACCTGCAAACCGACTTAATAATGGCGACTAGACGAAACCTTAGTTCGATTACTTTAGTGAAACATAATACAGTGAAACCTCTATAAATTAATATAATCAAGACTAGAGAAATTCTATTAATTTAGTGAATTATTAAATTATCGAGTTAATAATTTAACACGTTTTCACCGAGTCAGGACAAAGAGAAACTATTATTTAATCGAGTATTAATTTATCAAGATTCTTCTGTATTAGACTGCAGTTTTCAAGTAAAGTTCGAGGTATTCATTCCGGACTTTTTAGGGCATAAATGGTAAGTTAAGTGCTAAAAATCTTAAAAAGTAGGAAATATTTAGTATTAAAATTGTATAAGGACTTGTTAGCAAAATTAAGGATTAGGATCAAAATGTAATTAATGACCTTTCAAAGCTTCAACTTGACCAACCATTCATAAAATTCCTCGTTCGGGCCTGTCAAATTCTCCTTCTCTCCCCTTCGAATGATCCAATGCTTCAAAACTTGCTCGATAATGCAATTCGTGCCCGCAGCTGAAGCAATCCATGGCCTCCTCACAACTTCAGGCCTGTCGAGAAACGACCCATTCGCCTGGAAAATCATCTCCTTCGCCGCAACTTCTGCTTCCGCCGACGTCGATTACGCCCACCGCCACTTCCGCCGCCTCCCCAGCCCGACGCTCTTCCACTACAACGCCGTCGTTAGGGGCTTTTCGAACAGCAGAAACCCAATTAAATGCGTACGCATATTTGCGGAGATGTTGATAAACGGTGTCGTACCGGACTATCTCACGTACCCTTTTGTTGTGAAGGCTTCGGCCCGAATTTCGGACCCGAAACTGGGAGCGTGTGTTCACGGGCGGGTGTTGAGAAATGGGTTTGCTTCCGACGTTTTCATTTCTAATTCTTTGGTCCATATGTACGGCTCCACCGGTGATGTTGGATGCGCCAGGAAGGTGTTCGACGAAATGCCGATGAGGAATTTGGTTTCTTGGAATTCGATGCTGGATGGGTACGCCATATGCGGCGACGTGGTTTTGATGAGGGAAGTGTTCGACGTAATGCCGGAGAGAGATGTCGTCTCGTGGAGCGCGTTGGTTGATGGTTACGTCAAGGACGGGAACCACGCCGAGGCATTGGAGGTTTTCGCGAAAATGAAAGTTGTGGGTCCCATGGCGAACGAAGTAACCATGGTTAGCGCTCTATGTGCGTGCGCGCACTTGGGTGCACTCGATCAAGGGAGGTCAATGCACCGATACATAGTCGAAAAGGGATTGCCTTTAACCCTAATATTGAGAACATCCCTCGTAGATATGTACGCAAAATGCGGTGCAATTAACGAGGCCTTGCTCGTTTTCCGTGAGGCATCAACGAGAAAAACGGACGTGCTCATGTGGAACGCTATGATTGGTGGCCTCGCCACCCATGGATTTACCTCTAAAGCACTAGAAGTTTTCGTTCAAATGCAGGATTTCAAGATCAAACCGGATGAGATCACTTACTTGTGTGTGCTGAGTGCTTGCGCACATGGAGGGCTTGTGAAGGATGCATGGAAACATTTCAAATCTATCACAAAAAACGGGATGCTTCCGAAAAACGAGCATTACGCTTGCATGGTTGATGTTCTTGCACGCGCGGGTCATTTAGCCGAAGCGTATAAGTTTGTGTCAGAAATGCCGATGGACCCCACTCCTTCTATGTGGGGTGCATTGTTTAACGGATGCATAAATCATAGAAAGCTAGATCTTGCGGAAATAGTGGGGAAGAAGCTAATTGAATTGGATCCTTTTCACGATGGTAGATATATCGGACTATCGAATGTTTATGCGGTTATAAGGAAATGGGACGAAGCAAGAAGCACGAGAGAAAAGATGGAGTCGAGAGGAGTGAGGAAGTTTCCGGGGCATAGCTACGTGGAGGTTTTCGGAGATCTTCATAGATTTATTGCTCACGATACGGCGCATCTACAATCACGAGAAATTTATTCGATGTTGAATGTAATTGGCGAAGAGATGAAGTTTAGAATAGATCTTGAGGAACAAGAAATGTTATGTACTCCAATTGGAGTATGATCATCTCATATAGTATATATACATTTATTGAAGTCATGAACCATTTTTATTTTTTTAAATCGAATTCATATTTCGTATTTCGAAACATTAATAATTACGTAGAAGTGCGAAAACCGATTATTCCATAGACAGCTGCAAATAGTGGCAACTACAATCAAATATTGCAGTTACAGACTTTGGACTTATCGACAACTCAGGTAATATACAACATGAACAAATAACCGAATCTAATTTAAAGACGAGACGATCTCAACTGCAATAAGGTATAGAAAAAGATCGATTTTTTTTTTCTTTCCGCGAAATATTTCTCATGTTAAACAGTTGAAAGGGACTCGAGAAGTTTGTCTACGTACTCTTTGAGTTTAGCTTTGGTTATCGCACCCTCCCTTCTGCTCCCTGGAACTTCCTGCCCGTTTTGGAACAGAATCAACATCGGCAATCCGTATACCTTATATTTCTCGATCAGCCGCGGGTTCGAATCGTGATCGACTTTCACAACCGTTAGTTTCTCTTCGTACTCCTGAAAGTTGCATTCACAAGAGAACAAGCATTCAGTTTCTTTAAAATCGAGCGAGTTATTCTGAATGTTAAGCATCTAACACATACTAATTTCGTTCCAAATCTATTCTCCAATTCGTATCACACATTCTGGCATAAACTCTAAATGCAGTTGCAAAAACTTTTCTTCATCCGAATTGAGTTAATTGATTGCATTTAGTTGAATCACTGAGTCAACTCAGTTGAACTGAAGATATAAATCTAAGGCTCTTCCCACCTCCAATTATGCAATCTAGTGATGGAATTTTCATATAATTTTCCCTAATTATTAACTCAATGATGATCTTCTGTCTAAACCTAGTTCAAATTAAGACGAAATCAATCAGCCATTGACCATTGTTTAGGTGAAGTTAATTCATAGCAAAAAAAAAAGCTTTTCAATTTCATAAAAAAAATAAAAATTCAGAGATTCAATTTCCAATAATTGAAAGGGATATATTACATACAGCTACTGAATCTCACCTGAGCGAGTGATTGAATCGCAGGAGCGATTAAACGGCAGGGGCCGCACCACGTGGCGACGAACTCGACGAGGACGGGGATTTCGGACTTCAAAACGACGTTGGGGAATAGGTTTTCGTCGACCTCCCGCACTGCGCCGGCGCACTTAATCGGAGTTACAGACGACGGCGGCGGCGGATTCCTCCGGCTACGCAAGGAAACCTTATTGCGGAAACTGAATTTCGAATAGGAAGGTGAATAGGACGTAAGAGCATTGTGGATGATACTGGCCGGCGGGGAAGTAACTGCACGAACCGGAGGGAGCGGATTGGAGGAGGTGGGGGCGAAAGCGATACGCATGGTGGTGGAAGAGAGTGGAGAGGTGGTCGTTTGCTTAGAGCTCTTCTCTCTCTCTCTCTATTGGGCGACGCTCATTTTTCTACTTATCTAATATTTTTCATATATATATTTTTTTTATTTTTTATTATTCCATATTTATTTTTCAATAAATCAAACTATTTTTTTTTTTTTTTTTTTTTTTAAATGGGAGAAAATGCACTTCAACCCCTATAAATTTTCTATTTTCACACTTTCACCTCTAAACATTCAAAAAAGGGATAACCCCCTTCGAAATATTTTTTTTGTTGCACTTTGTCCCAAAAGCCAATTTCCAGTGGCATCGTGCACAAAAATAATATTTCAAAGCGGCAATGTTAGAAATGTATAGAGGTGGAACACGAACACGATATGGAAAAACGGACACGGGAAACAATATTTAAAAAAATGATGATGCGAGAACTTGAGAAAAATGTGTAAATATTAAATATAGAGTATATTTATAAACATGCTATATAAACATATATACATTTTTATTTATACGTAAAATTCTTTTTATATATTTTGATAAATATAATCAAAATAAATATTATTATCAACTATCAATTTGCAATTGATAGTTAAATCATGTAAATAATTATGGAAACAACAACAGTATTTGGAAATTTGATGTTCAAACTTGTTTCTAATTTTTAAAAAATTACAAAATGGTCCATAATGTGTCCGACATGCGTCTGAAACACGAAAACAGTAAGAAATTGAAGTTTTCGTACTAGATAAATCGAAATGTCATTATCTTTTTAATCATATCCCATGATTGATAATATAATTTATTTTTTAAATAATTGATTGGTGAAAATTGAAAATTTAAGAATTCTTTTTCCTTGAAGATAAATAATGGGAATTGTCTTTAAATATTTTTTGAGTTATCTAATTTATTACTCGTTAATCTAAATAAAAAGCAAAAATGATTTGGGGATAATTAATTACAATTGTTAAACACAAATGGGCTTAAGAAGAAAATTAGGTGTTTGACCCAAATATTTAGAATAAACTCTTTGCCAAAAGTCTTCATATATTATTTTATTTTCCGTCTTTAGAGAAAAAAACAGAGTTGTGCTGTTAAACGAAAAAATGTCCTCCAGCGGCGGCGTCACGGTGGCGGATGTACTTCTGCCATCAATGCGAGCGCACCGCCACAATTGCCCCCTCCCCGGGTGGCGAAATCCTCTGCCCCTCTTGTAACTCCGGTTTCGTCGAAGAATTCCAAAACCCTAGCCCTGATCCTAGAATACCCGACCCTTTCTACCCCGACCCGCTCTCCCTCCTCCTCTCCCAATTCCTCCCCCCCGCCTCCGCAAACCTCAACCCTAACCCTACGCGGAGGACGGCGCCGACCGGGGTGTCTGCGCACGGAGCCGACGCTTTCGACCCGATGTCGTACTTTTTGAACTTTCTAGCCAACAGCCGCGCCAGCGGAATTGACTACCAGTTTGTGATCGAGGATAACCCGTCGGATTCCGGTTTTTCTCTGCCGGCGAATATTGGAGACTATTTTGTGGGGCCCGGATTCGACCAGTTGATTGAGCAGTTGGCTGATAATGATCCGAATCGGTACGGTACTCCTCCTGCCGCCAAGTCTGCCGTTGAGGCGCTGCCGAGTATTACCGTTGACGAGGCTTTGATGAAATCCGACTTGGCTCAGTGCGCTGTGTGTAAGGATGACTTTGAGATGGGAACTGTGGTGAAGCAGATGCCTTGCAAGCACGTCTATCATGAAGAATGCATTATGCCTTGGCTCGAGCTGCATAATTCTTGCCCCGTGTGCCGCTATGAGCTTCCGACCGATGATCCGGATTATGAAAGCGGTGGTAATTCCGGCAGCGGTGGAGTTTCTCGAGGGAATGGCGCTGGCGGTGCTGGTGGTCAGGCGGAGGGTTCAGATGGGGAAAGGGTGGTGGAGAGGAGGTTGACCATATCATTACCTTGGCTGTTTGGAGAGTTTGCTTCTGGATCAGGGTCTGATTCGGGTGGTGAGGGGGAAGAACACCATTATCGAGAACATCACTAAATGTGTTTAGGTACGCACTCGGAAAAAAATCTCGTTTTTGTCCTTTTCTTTACCTATTGGGGATTCTTGTGCATTAGATTAAATGTTAGTTACGCTATTTCTCGTTTTGATTTGGTATGTGATATTAATGAATATTAATTATGACTGCCCCTTTCCTTTCTGTTTTGTCCAATGTATTATCTCAAACGGAATGTTTTGATTGTCTCTAAAGTGATTTGATCTTTTGGTATGCAAAACTTTCTGAAATGACTGTGATGCCATCTTTTAGTTTCTTCAGAGCGTAAATTTATTGTGAATGAGCCTTAAACTTTTAATGCTTCGACTATCTTGTTATAACGGCTGTTTGATCAAGTTCCTGCAGATTTTTTGTTTTTGGCTGTATCTCAGTCATTATCTTTGTATAATGATTCAATCCCTAGAAGCATGAAGTAGGTTTTTCACTAGTTTCCTGCTAAGTTTTTCTTCGTACGTGGATTTATGTATCCCTCGACAAAATCATCAGTGATGTACTTCCTGGAAAAAAGGGGGAATTAATTTTGGAAGTATTTGATTGTACATATTACGGGTTCATATTGTTGACTTCCTGGGATTGTGATGTTATTAGTTTCCCATTCTTCTCCTATTATTCTTGTAGTTGTTTATGTAATTAAAAATTCTCTTCTCGGAATATCATGGTAGCAGAACTTTAAGCTCGTAAACAGGGAAGAATTTCTTTTTCTTTTCTGGCGTAGGTTTCCAGAAATTTCCTTCATACATTATCGCCCTCTATCACAAGAAAAGCTATAACAACCTTCATTTCCGATGTTCTTTGTTTCATATCTTTTATCGGCCCATTTTCAAACCTATTTCTTGGACATGTCCGTCGTTTCATATTCATTCCTTATGTGAACATTTTTGTGCACATTAAATTTTGAGAATTCTTGGAGCTCGACCATTTTTGCCAAAAAAATTCGAACATTTTACCCCTGAAAAAAAGAAAATTTTCATGTTGTATGAAGAAGTGCTTATTTGGCGCCGAAGGAAACAGTTGAAACTCTGCATAGCAGATAAATTAATAAAATTTTAGTAAAAAGCCTCGTGGGGAAATTGAAGTTGCTCTGTTAAAGAGTTGCTCTGCTGTAAAACTTCAACTTGGACTTCTTTTTTGGTACTGATGCCGTAGAATTCCTGTCATATTATGTGGTTTGTGCATTAGGCTGAACCAAACACTACTGTTTGGCTCGTCTTTTTTTACTTTTTAACTTGCATAATAGCAACTTTCGAGTTAATCTTTGTGGTAACCTTAATAGCTTAGCCCATACTTACTCTTCCCATTGGAGGTTGTTACAGTGACTTGTATACAACAAACAGAATCCAGAAAGTTATTTGAAAATATCAAACGAATGTTGGAGCAAATAAAATTGATGGCCAAATAACAAGACGCGAAGACACAGGTTAACTTGTTCTTTATATTTAAAGAACGAAGTTGCAACACTTAAATACACGTGTCAAAGTTTAGCCCATCATCAATTGCAGATAATTTATTGATCTCAGTACGTCGAAGTTGAGATTTAAATAGAAAGTTATATTGAGATTATTGGTATGGGATGCTGGGGATTTATCACCATACATGACTATATCGTTGCAGATACATGACTATATCGTTGCAGTTATTTGATAGGTTTACGCCTTTAGGACTGCTCGTTAAACTCTAGGATTTATTCAAGTCTCGTTGGTTTTTCTTATTGCATTCTTATTATTTCCTTGAAATTGTGTTGGAGCAAAGACACTATTTTGGTATGTGGTTATATAATGTCTGGATACTAATTTTTTTCATTTTTTTTGTTTTTTGTTTTTTTTTTCCCGAAGCTTTTGCCTTGTGGAACAGTTACATCGGCGCAATGGAGGAATGCTTGTAACCAAGGACATATACAGGGTTTACTTGCATGAGAAAATCATAACCGTCGTTTTAAGCTTTTGAGCGAAAAGTCTGTTTCGATATTTTTCTTTTTTGTATAGTTGGTCTGTGTAATCATATCAAAATTATAGTACAGATTTTGGTTTTGGATGGCATTTTGCTACATTTTTTTCGCTTTTTAGTTGCTTAAAAAAACCAGTCACATTCGAATTCTGCAGCTGTGTTGGCCATTTGAGCTAATATAGACTTGGGTTTGTTTTTCAAGAGTTAGTAGTTTTTTGATATATTTTGATTCTCACCTATGATATATGTACGTATATATATAAAAATACATAATATAAAAATATTAATATTGCCAAAGTAAACATTTTGGAAAAGGTAATGATATACGCAGGCCAAATTAAACATTCAGGCACTTTTTTACCATGAGTTTTTACCTTTTTACCATAACTATTTACCTTTTGTACTATTCATATGCACAAAATCGGACTTTTTTTTATTCATGTGCGTAAATTCACACGAGCAGGCCAAAGTCCGATTTTTTTCGTTTTTTTTTTCGGATTCGTAATCTACATAACAAGAGGATCGTAAAAACGTAAAAATTACCTCCGATCTGTTGACGATTTGCACGGACTTTGCGAAAGAAAATCGAAAGGGTAGAGAGAGTTTTTGAGTTTTTTACCTTTTGTTTTTTGAGAAATGGTAAAAAATGTGCCTTAATGTTTAATTTGTGCCTGCACAAATCATTTCAGTTTGGAAAAACATGGTGTTTTCAAGTCGAAAATATATGCGCTTCCCTATGTTATTTTCGAGACTTTAATATATTGATGAATACCTATTATACTTTGGTGAATTGTCAAGTCGAAAATATATGCGCTTCCCTATGTTATGTTCGAGACTTTAATATATTGATGAATAACTATTATACTTTAGTGAATCGTCTGTCACTCAATGATGGTCGTCGGGCATTTTAAGATGGTGAATGTTACAAGTGTTCAATTTCAATATACCAAATACCACATTGAAAGAAAGAAGCTCCCCTAATCGAGCATTTTTTTTTCACATGAAAATACCGAAATTGCATACAAAACATAGGGAAAAAGGAAACGGAGAAGAAAGCTCGTCTCTGCAGAATATGTTGAATCTCACTCGCACTGGCTAAAACATCAAAAAAAATCAATCCATGTGTGCAGAGATTGATTAGAGATTGATTACAGGACCATTTCAAACAATTGGACTTGAAAATCATATACCTTACTAAAACTACTGTGCAGGAGCCATCTGCTTCAATTTTGCTTGTAAAACTGCCCCAGCCTCGTCTGCTATACTTTTCTTTTTCGTCGCCACCTGCAATTTTCATCAAATGAATTTTCTTCAGATAATCTTTGTTGCCAATCGATCACTGAGCAAATTACAGTTAAACCTCTATAAATTAATACAGTTGGGAGTCGGGACCAGCCAAATTCTATTAATTTAGCGAAATATTTTTTAACATGTTGCCTTCGAGTCGGGTCCGGGAAAACATATTATTTAAACGAGATTATTAATTTATCGAGGTTCTACTGTAGAAGCATCTTTTTCAGACAATCCTAGTTAGCGAATAGTTGGAAGGTAATTAGAAATTGAAACTACACTAGCATTATTAATTAAGATATTTTGAAATACTCTGCAGGAATACAAGATTGTTTTGGTAGGAATGTATATGTGAGACTGCACAGTACATATCGATCTATTTACAGAAGAAGTTTAACTGTATTCACCACAGAACCTCATGGGTAAATTCGATATATTATTCACCCGAGTTACATCAGAATAAGGTTTGTGAAAACATAAGTTTTATAAAATCTGAAAAGGTGAACGAGATATTACGAAAACATACCTCGAGAAGTTGGTCGTAATTGGACTTGAGCAGAGAAATTTTGCGCTCACAATAATCTTTACCTTCCACCATCGTTTTCTGCCCAGATCAAAGATAAGGAGTTAAATTAAGTCTTCAAACATAATTTTATTGGCGGACGAAACGTAGCATCAGCTTGCAAAAAATTGAAGGAAACACTCTCGAAGTAAAATTATTTCAGGGATGTGAATCCACAAATTGCAGGGGGTCAAAACAACACAGTTTGGGCCCCTGGCGTAGCGTTAAGACATCGAAATACCCCCTTCGACATTCAAAACATTCTATTATATCCTAGTTGTTTGAAAGATATTGTTTTGGACAAAGCTCAAAATTACGTTGTTTGATCTCTTAATGTATAACTCTGTCATCAATTACCCTCCTACTACATACAAAATTAAGCTTAACAAATGAGACAACGTTTTGTTACAATAATCGGAAAAATCAATCAATCATGAACGCGAACATATGCTAGTAAAGTTGTTCTACTCGCATGCTAGAAAAGTTTTCCGTATACGTGAAAAATCAAATATATATTTTAACTAGTCGAGTTAATAAAGATCTTGACAGCAGTTCTCTTACATTGCCAAGAATCTGTAACAAACTTGATCGATAACCTCCCTACGCACTCGGCAAAAATCATGGTTCAAGTTGGATACGACTACAAATGCCGACATTAAGTGCATCAAGAAAAACCTAGTAGAACTTGGAGTAAGCAACTTTCAAAACTATAACAGTAATGGAGAAGAAAAAAAACCTTAAACGAGAACCGGAAAATGTTTATTACTCCCACTAATGTATATTTGTTTTCCAATACGTAGTCTTAAAAAAATTTATATCGTTGTTAAAGAAACACATACGAAAGGGATTCGAATCTTAGTGATTATAAATTTCTAAACATTGACTCAAAATTAAATTTGCATATATCCCAAAATACGTACAGAAATTGTATTTGTATCTATAACCAATCCAAGCAGTAACTCAAAGTTCAATTAGAATACAAAAAATTATTAAAAAAAAAAAACAGAAAAAAAAGGGGATCTTGATTTAATTCAAGTTAAAGGACGAGAACAAAACAAACCAACCTCAATAAAATAACCAGTGCCTACATCAACCAGGACCTTCTCTGAATCATCTAGAACCCCAGGCACGTAAAGCGACGCCGTTAAGGGCACAAGCATTTTCCTCCCTAATTTTTTTAAAAATTTGAAAAATTGAAAAATTGAAAAAAAAATTCAGAATAGAATGGGTAGCTGGTGGAATTGACCTTGGGGGCGGAGGGAGAGGTCGTGGAGGGCGGTGGAGGCGAGCTCGAGGCGGACGGTGGCGGTGCGGATGTTGTTGAGGCTGTCCTGAAACAAATTGACTTCCATATCGGCTTGTTCTTTCAGCCCCTTTAGCTGCTCTACGCTCAGCTTCTCTATCTCTATTCGAGGTGACGCCGCCATTTTTGCTCTCTGCAGATTTTCTCCTCCTCGATCGGTTTTCCCTTTCGCTCAGCTACTGATTTATTATTTATATTATTTTCGTTCTGGTGAATTAATTGAAATATAAAATAATATTAATGTATATTACTATAGTAACAAAAGTTTGAAAGTAACATCAACGACTTGCCCTTATAGCTCAGTGGTAGAGCGTCAGTCTTGTAAACTGAAGGTCCGCAGTTCGATCCTGCGTGAGGGCAGTTTGTTTTATTCTATTCTTTTTTTTTTTTTTTTTTTTTATCTAATTTATTTTAGGGCAAATTACGGGCACCCCTAAAGTATGGCCAAATTATGAAAAAACCCCTCTTGTTTGTTTGATTACAGTCACCCCTCCTTTTAAATATTTTTACATAAAATTTATGTAATTCGGATATTTATCGAATCACATTGTATATTTAGTTCGGTAAACGGTATGAATGTTGGTGTATCGAAATTTCGGTTCGGTTTTCCAATTTAACATCCCTAAATTTACATAATGGGGTATTTTCGTAAGATTATACATAGTTGAGGTGGGTGACTATAATTACCCCAACAGAATGGGGGTTTTCGTAACTTAATCATAACTGAGGGGTGACCCGTAATTTACCTTTATTTTAGGGCTAAATACACTTTGCACCCCTGAAGTATAGCCTATGTAACACTTACCCCCTTAAAGTATCATTTGTAACACTTACCCCCTCAGCATCAAATATTTTATATTTAAAAATTAAAACATAACATACATAACAATCTAATAAAAATACACACACACACACACACACACACACATATATATATATATATATATATATATATATATATATATATATATATATATATATATATATATATATATATTATAATAAATGAAAATGTATTTTAAGAAATTAATGAACTAAAATAAATTTAAATACTTAAGAAAACTATTATATATGTATTGATTTCTTAAAATTTATCAATATGAATATATTCGGATTAATTGGTCCAATAACAATTAGATGTTATTTATTAAATATGCATCCAACAATAATAATTACAATTGGATGTTATTTATTAAATGTGTATCCAACAGTACAAGATAATATTTTTAAATTTTTAGATATTGCATGTTTCAACAGATATTTTTAGTTGTATAATTTAATTATATCTTAAGTTATTATTTTAAATAAAAAAAATATACTAGGATTTAAAATACAAATTGCATTGGGAATATAATTTGATATGTCATTAAATATACATATTTTTTATAAGATTCATTTAACATATATTAGAAAAGTATGATTACCTTGACTTTTCCATATTATTGAGTGTTAACTATTCTTCTTATCCCATCAACATACCCAAATATTTACTTGGAAAATTTTCACTAAATCTATTTACATAATTACATAATTTGAATGAGCTATAAAAAGCTACCATTTTGTGGAATGTTAACAATAAACAAAGGGGAGGAAAGTTGAATAACGAAAAAAATAAGAGTGATAGAGAGTTTACATACACCCATGAAGCATGATAGTGCCCCAATACTTGTGATATTTATACTTTTGACCCTAATATTTACAGGAAGCGTATCGGCAACCCCTTTTCCGATTTGCTACGCGGAGTGCATAGTTTTGTGCGTGATATTCGAATCCGTAATTCCATGTGCATTGCAATGTTTGGTTAAGTGCTATCTTTTTAATGAGAGTGTGTCACAAAAAATGTACTATCAAAATCTTGGGTGTGCAATTAACAAATGCGCAAAATTTGGCAATGGTATAACTTCACTCTCTCTTTGTTTTTTTAATTTCGCTCGATTCATATAATTTTACTTCTCTTAATCGATCACGTATTAAAATATTTCATATTATAAGCAAATTATCGTGATTTTTTGCAGATACAAAGAATGTGTTTGGCTGCGTAACAGGCTGTGAGAAACTGACCATGACAATTTGAAGAAAAAAAAATGAAACTGAAAATTTTGAAAAATTGTAATAGAGTTAGCAGTATATTAGAATTTTCTTTTTATGAATTACAAAAATAATTATTACACAAGGCCAATGTATATATTAGACTATTAAAATCGACATAATCTTATCCCAATCGAAAATTTTCTTTAGAATCAAATAAAAAGGATGAAAAATCCCAATCAAAGCGATGGATATATCGGAGTTATAAGAAAATGCACTTATTTCGAATTCGATTAAAGTTCTCAGTTTTATATTTCTATTTGAGCTAAATCTCCCACGCACGCCCTACAAACTTGAATGTTTGAGAATGCGATAAACTTTTCCGCGACAAAAATGTAAACAAAATAAAACGATGCACTTAACTATAATAAAAATAGTTGTAAGGGCCTTTTCACAAATTACCCCAATAAATAGCACCAGTATATTAAATGGACACGTGTCGTCTCCTTGTAATAGGCAGAGTTCGTAAATCACAGTCCGTCTTCTGCAATTCAATTTTGCACTCCCAATCTAGAGAGAGAAAAAAAAATGGAACCACCGCAAGACGACGACCACCGCCGCCGCTGCCTCGAAGATCACTCGCCGCAATTCCCACCTCCGCCGTCATCCTGCGCAAAGTGCGGCGGCCCGACGTGTTCCCCAACTCCACCGCCGCCCTCATCCACCCCATCCTACATCCCAATCCGCTTCCCCGCCGTGAACCTCCCCACGCCACCAGCCAACATCAAGGAGACGATTATCCGAACGCCCGTACCCCAATCGGAGAAAGTTGAACTCATCACTCCGCCGCACCAATTCACCGCCCCTTGCAAAAAAATCCGGTCCCAAGACGACGTCGCACGGTTCCACTCCTCCCCTTCCTTCCGCAACTTCCTCGGCTTCGTCGTCTCCTTATCGGAATCCATGAAATCGCGCAAGATCTCGTACCCCTGCCACATGTCCCCCGCGGCCGAAACCCTACTGTCGATTCTCCAGAAGCTGGTTGACTGCGTTGACGAAATTCCTCCGGCGCCGCAGTCCGCTCGGTACGGCAACGTTTCGTACCGCGTGTGGCACGAGCGCATGAGCGCCGATGCCGAGGGGTTTATGCTGATGCTGCTGCCGCCGCATCTCCGTGACGCCGCCGTGGAGCTTGTGCCCTATTTCACTGATAGCTTTGGGAATTCCTCCCGCATTGATTACGGTACACAAACACTATTTATTTCTCGTTTTTTTTTTAGTATGCGGTGGTGTTTATATTATGTATTGGGTGACTGTTTTTTGAGTAGCATATTACCTATGAAGATTGATGTGCATAAAGAACTGTGGCAAATTACGTGTATGCGGTGATTACACCAGAAAACGAGAGGCGTTTATGGAAATCGGCACTAGAAATCACAGGCTTGTTTGAATAACTGAATCAATAAATCGACTTGTTTAATGAGATTTTGGCACACCATCCCCGTGATTTCTGACGAAATAACTGAATCGATAGATGAAAGAAAACAGAAGGATTTTATAAAAATATGAAAGGTTAAATCGTTTAGCTGGTAAACGGCATGTTAGCATTTGTAGCTTGATCCCTTATCCGGCACCGAGTCATTATTTTTGTTCAAGTCGTACATCTTACATTTTCATTCGTCTCATTTCAAATCACTATGTGATGTATTGATTTAATACATCGCTGTTTTTTGTTGTATTTTTGCCGATGTTGATGCTATTTTTCTCTAGTTGACTGTTGGAAAAGGCGAGATAACATAAAAAATCAATTCAATGATCTTTTTCTTTCGGTTCCCCTCATCGTATAGGTACAGGGCACGAGACGAATTTTGCGGCGTGGTTGTATTGCCTAGCAAGATTGGATATTGTGAGAGAAGAGGATTACCAAGCCTTGGTGTCAAGAGTGTTTGTCAAGTACTTAGACTTGATGAGAAAATTACAGCTAACTTACTCCTTGGAGCCCGCAGGGTCCCACGGTGTGTGGGGACTCGACGACTACCATTTCTTGCCGTACGTATTCGGGTCGTCGCAATTGATCGACCACAAGTATATGAAGCCGAAATCCATTCATAATGAGGATATTTTGGAGAATTTCTCAAACGAATATTTGTATCTCACGTGTATTGCTTTCGTGAAGAAGGTGAAGAAGGGTTTGTTTGCTGAGCATTCGCCTATGTTGGATGACATCAGCGGTGTTCCGAATTGGAATAAGGTGAACAGTGGGCTATTGAAAATGTATAGAGTAGAAGTTATGGAGAAGGTTCCTATCATGCAGCATTTTCTGTTTGGCTCGATTATCAAATGGTACGCAGCATCTCTTTAACTTCTCTTATAGTTCAATAAGTTGATTATTATGCTGTGATTCATATTTTTTTTCTCTTTCCCTTTTGCTGTTTCATTACTCTTCTTCTGCTCGTTTGTTTACTTTCTTGATTTTCTCTTGTTCTGAAACTTATCCATGAAAGATAAAGAGTGGGAATAGTTCACAGTTCTGTTGAATCGACATGTTGTATCATTTCCAAACGAAGCCTTCATAGTATATAATTGGTTAAGTGGAGTTTTATGCTCGTTGACTTGAACCAGATTTTCTATGCCGATTTTCTCCTGTCCTGTTTCGTTTTCTCTTAATTTTGTGATTTTTCGTTTATTGCTACCTTACATGGTTTCTTATGTCCTATGCGATGAAGCACTTGGCTCAAATTAAAGTGTAAAGATATCATCAATTTTACCTGAAATGGACTTTCTTTCGGCTAAAATCGGCGCATAACTCACAAAAGTTTCTTGGAAGTTATGTAGTGGTTTCTGAAAAGGATATGTACATTCTGTACGGATTTTTTGGTCCCTCACATTTTTGAAAATCGTCGAATCATAACTAAATTGTACATGTTAAAGGCTTCTGCCAAAGGCCGTTGTTATTGAAATTTAAATGTTTGTTTCTTAATTGTATGCATTCCATCACACATATTAGTTTTACGCATAATGATCACAAATAATGTCACTTGAGAGTTGTCTGCTATTTGCTAGAACTAGTCAACTATTTTTAGTTCGCTTGTTGCATATGATTTCTTGGATAAAACTGCAACGGGATTGGATTTCTCTCGATTATTACAACATTAGTATTTGTCTGAGACGTTCTCTTTCATTTTCTCCGAAAATTAATGTTGCTCATTAGTTCATGTTTTCATCCTATTTTCCTTGTGCAGGGTGGATTGAAAGGTCGGAGGCAGATCGTTTCTGAATTCATCTATGGACTGTATGTGATCCCGTACGAAACTTAAAATTACTATTATTTCTCTCATTTTTCTTCGTTCGTAATGCTTAACTTATTAGTACAACATTGTAGCCATAATTTGGTATGAAGATAGCTATTAGAAGCTTACTGTCAAGAACTCAAAAACTATCGCAAGGCTTACGAAGTTATGTATTCGCCCTTTCCCAAGACGAGGCTTCATCTTCTATACAACCGCAATTACGATACGTATCTATAGATCTTTAAATGTGTGAGGACCATTTTTAGTCTATTGATGTTATTTCGTGAAATTCGAAACCTAGGTCGATACGAAACATCCCTTGCAACCCTAGTCAAAACAAAACACATGTTGCAGGATTGAAAATTTGGTTGGCTCAACAAAAAGCTCTTATTAACAACAACCCTCTTGATTATTTAATAAAACAAATCTTGGAAAAAAATGTTTGCTTTCTCATTGCAATAATTCCCAAAGGAAAGAAGAATCTACAAACACAATATAGTAAGCAACATATATAGAGAAAGAGAGAGAGAGAGGAGAAAAAAAGGGAGTTGGGTCTCATCACTTCCAGTTGTTAGCAACAATGTCAGCAAGATCAACAACCCTCTGTGAGTAACCCCACTCGTTGTCGTACCAAGCGATGACCTTCACCATGTCGTCGCCCATGACCATGGTCAACGACGAGTCGACGGTCGACGAGACGTCGCTGCACCTGAAGTCCACTGACACGAGGGGCTCGTCGCACACGGCCAAGATCCCGCTGAGCTCGTTGTCTGCCGCCTCCCTGAAGGCGGCGTTCACCTCCTCGGCGAACGTCTTCTTCTCGACCTGGACGACGAGGTCGACCACCGAGACGTTGGGCGTGGGCACACGCAGAGCGATACCGTTGAGCTTACCCTTGAGCTGGGGGAGGACGAGCGCTACCGCCTTGGCCGCGCCGGTCGATGTGGGCACGATGTTGAGTGCCGCCGCCCGAGCACGCCTCAGGTCGCGGTGGCTGGCGTCCAGGAGCCTCTGGTCTCCGGTGTACGAGTGCGTGGTAGTCATGGTTCCCTTAATGATCCCTATATATATACATACATTCAATGTATTAGTCTCATCCCGCGATACTATACTACTCGAAAAATAAGTAATAGGGATTTGATAAATGACGTTTGAGTTTCAATATACCATTTCAATTTCAAAGATGATTTTGACCATTTTCGTGTCTGAATTCGGCAAGACTCAAAACACGCAATTCGTAGTTCTTTCACTTTTAACCTTTTAATCCAACTTGAATCACTAGGGCTGAATGTCGTGTGAGAAACACATGCATGAATCACTGAACACTGTCAACAACTTAATGTTCTGAATTATCTAAAATTCACAATGTAACTCATTCAAGCATAATTGTTTCACCCGATATCCAGTCTAGCTGATTCAAGTTGGATTAGAAAAGCTAACTCGAAGAACTACAATTTATGTGTTTTGAATTTTGCCAAAATCAGAACACATTCAAAGTCAAAACACTACTAGTAAAATCAAAACGACATTTAACATTTCAGTAACAAATTATACCGAATTTTTGGTCGAGGACTTTGACGAAAGGGGCAAGACAGTTGGTGGTGCAGGAGGCGTTGCTAATGATGTCGTCGGCGTGTGTGTAAGCATCGGCGTTGACACCGACGACGTACGTGGGGATGTCGCCCTTGCCGGGAGCGGTGATGAGCACCTTCTTCGCCCCGGCTTGAATATGCTTCCCGGCTCCGTCTCTATCCACAAACACTCCGGTACCCTCGATCACAAGATCAATCCCCATATCCCTTCAAAATCGTAAAAAAAAAATATCGTAAAACACAATTAAGTTACTATATAATGCAATGTGCATAGATAGCTCTCTTCTAATTTTTTTTTTTACCCCCAAGGGAGGTTGGAGGGGTTGCGGTCGGAGACGACTTGGATGATCTTGCCGTCGACGGAGATGGCGTCGGTGCCGACGGGTTTGACGACGGCGTCGAAGATGCCGAGGGTGGAGTCGTATTTAAGGAGGTGGGCCGCTTGCTTGACGCCGCCGGTGTCGTTGATGGCGATCACGTCGAGTGGGGAGTCCTTCCTACCGTGCCAGCACCTCAAGAAGTTCCTCCCGATTCTCCCGAATCCGTTGATCGCCACTTTGAGCTTCGCCTCCACCACTACCTTCTGGTTCTTCTCTCCCCCAACCTATACATACAGAGATAGAGCATATATAAATAAACATTCTTGACACACACACACACACACACACACACACACACACACATGTATATATATATATGAAGACTTACAAGAGAGGTTTGGAAAGAAACAAAAGAAACGAAGTCTGCATTGCTGTTGGCTCTCTTGCCGAATGGAAGAGCAGAAGACGAGCTGCGAAGCCCGCTAAACTCTGAGAATCCTTTGCTGCAGCCCACCTGCACCGTGCACACACAAACACACCACCATTATTAGATATACATACATTACATACAGACATATATATACACAGACACACACACACGCACCTGCAGAGAGGAAAGAGCAGCATAAGCCATGGTGTTGAGCAATGGTGGAAAAAAAAAACAGTGGGAGAGATATAGGAATAAAAGGGATAATGAGGGTAGAAATTGTTTATGGTGTTGATTATTTTGGAGGGGGAATGGATCAGATTTTGGATCATATGTTAGCTTCTCTCTCTCGATTTGTATGGTTGTGCTTCTCCTTGTCACACTGTTTCTGTGTGTCAGCATTTTTTTTTATTAATTTAGATTTATTTTCATTATAGATTTTCATATCAATACGAAAAACCGAAAACAGAAAAATCCAACCATTTCGAACCGTTCCGGACCTATTTGGGGGCCGAGGTGGTTGTGGCCCCCAATATTTTTTCGTAATTTAACTATACTTCAAGAAATGGTTGTAATTTACTCTAATCTATTTTAATTAAGGTGGTATTTGCACAAGCTTTTATAAACATTTTCTTTCCTTTTTATATTCATAATCCACCACCACCACCACAACAACAACTGACACAGATGAACAAAAAAATCTTATTTACATAGTTTGGTTACATTAATGAGCAAAAGATTAGCAAAAAACATGTAGTTTATGTAATTTGAAAATGAAGTTCAGGTTAACTAGACAGTTTTCCGAAAATTTATTTACATAGCTTAATTAAAATAAGTTGAATAAAAAAACTTAAATATCTGGTGCCCACATCACCACTGATACATATCAAATTATCCTCATGGGATTTCCTAACTCTTTATTGGGTTGTGGATTGAGTTTTCACTTGTATTTGACCCAAAGTTATAACAGCCCCAAGAAGAGAAGTTATGACAAGTTTGCTTATTTTCTGTCAACCAAGTATCCTCATATATAAGTAGGGAGTTATTCTCAACCTTTCACTCATATGCTCTTCTCTCTTACATATCACACTCGATTATCTCTGGATAAAAACTGACTTGATCGTCGAAGCTTCTACGCCGGGAAACCCCTCCTGGCGTTACAGGTACCCTCCGGCGGAATCTTCGGCAAGCTGTCATCCAAAATATCTTCCAAAGAGGACACGTCATCATCTCGACCATTTTAGAAGAAATCAACCACCAACATTAGCATCTACCATCACCAAATAATTTTTCATATTTTTCTTTTTTATTTCAATGATTATTAGGTTACATCAGACGGGAAGGAAAGTAACCAAAATCGTATTTGTGTATGTAGGTGTGTGATGTATGTGCATGTGTGTGGTTGTGTGACAGAGCTTCGACGATGGCAGTAGCAGGAGAAGGAATATATTAAATTTGACGAAGTGCAACGAGGTTCGATGGATCAAACGAAGTGCAGCTGCTAAACGAATGCACGCGACACTAAAGAATAAAGAGCTTTTACCAAAGGGGGCAACTATTTCAAATACTAACTTTTGCTTACTTGAATACTACCAAGTTGAAAACCACAATTGAGTACATATTTATAAGTTTTTTCTCACTTTAATACCAAAATAAAAAGAAAAGTACAAAAACACCCTTTCATACAAAATATTAATTATATCAATTTTTCTTTGAAATTACCTATTTGAAAACCAAATAAAAAAAAAGAAAAAAAAAACTTTCAAACACAAAAAAAAACCTCCGTCCACCCCTCCCACGCCGCCGGACGCCGCCGCCGCTCCAACCCTCGCCGCCGCCGGACGCCGACGCCAAACACCGCCGAACGCCGCCGAACGCCGCCCAACGTCGCCCAAGCCCGCCGCCGTCGTCGTCTTCGAATACAAGTAATATTTGTTTCGATTTTTTTTTTCTTTAATATTTATTTAAGGTTTGATTGTTTGATATGGGTAACTAGGATTTGATTGTTTTAGGTAGAAATGATCGTTAATTAGTAATGGGTGCATCTAATTTCAGTCGATTTGAGCATTGATTTGAGATTCGTGGGTCGGTTCTTCGTTCACATTTTTCGACCTGTATATGTCGATTTTTGATGAATTTTCGACAGGTTGATGTCGAAAATTCATCACAAATCGAGCTATAGGTGCCGAAAAATGTGAAATCTTGAAATTGGATTTTTTGGTAATTCGACAGATAGCTGTCTAATTTTGGATTAGTTTTCGACAGCTTGCTGTCGACTATTCATCCAATTTTCGACAGCTAACTGTCGACTTTTGATGACTTTTCGTG